CCACCACCCATGGTCATGGTACAGTTCCTAGGTGAAGAAGGGTTCGAACACCAGATCCACAGCTACCAGGATCTCAACGACTTCCTGTCCGATTGTGAGATGCCGCCCTCCCGCCCCTTCACCAAAGACTGCGCCGCCCGACTGACAAACTCACTCTTCCGAAGTCTTAGATCCAGGGGAACATGCCCTAGCCAACAGGCTCCTCAAGGGACATCTCCAATAGACTGCAACAGACACCAACCGCCACACACGCTCGCCAGCACACGCTCGCCAGCCGACGCCGTGCCTTCAACCGCTTGACCCCCTCCAACCCAAGCCCAACTTTTCCATATTATTGTATATTCTTTTATCTCCCACTCCCACCCAGCCAAACCCCTCCCCCCCCAGCCCTACCTTCCACTCTCCGGGCAGACGCTCTACCCACTAGACCAGGAAGGCGGTCACATCGAGAAGTACAGAGTTAGAACGTATTTTATAATGAAGACTACCTCACTAACATAACTTGATGTATATATAAACTTATAAATGTTCTAAGATGGTTATATTTGAGGATAACAACCCTGGGGCTGTGGTCAATGTATTACTTCTGAATAAACTTCTGAATAGTATGAAACTACCGAAACCTCAGACCCGTGTAGATCCGGGTTAGAAAGGGTCTTCAGCAACACATGCATGCTTGCCGTGAAAGGCAACTATGCTCGTCGTAAGATATGACTAACGGGGTCGGGTGGTCGAGCTCGCTGACTTGGTTGGTGCATGTCATCGTATCCTAATTGTGTGGATCGATGCTCATGATGTCAATCACTGGATTGTCTGGTCCAGACGCGATTATTTACATACCGCCGTCACAAAGCTGGAATACTGCTGAATATAGTAAACTGACGTCCAAAAGAAACTTTACCAGAGTTTGAAATCACTCTTGCTCAAAAACAACAAAACATACATGCATGAAGTAAAGTGTATTGAGAAGATCAATATATTATCATAATCAACACTGAAAATGACAATCATACCGCGACCGAGAATGACGTCAGAGCCCCCCCCCCCCCCCCTAAAGTTGGGTGTGGTACAAAACTCGAGCTTTCAGAATCATGGCCAATAGGCAGTGTACATAAACAATCGCTCACGTTCAATAACAAGTCATTAGTAGCGTGTGTGACCACCAAATGCCTCAATACACGCAAAAACTCTTCGACGCACAGAAAAAGTCAGTCGTCTGATGAGGACACGTTTGATTTGACGCCATTCTTCTTGGAGGGCCAAGATCAGTTCTTGCCGGTTGGCTGGAGAGTGTGGTCGTTGTCGAGCACGGCGATCCATCAAGTCCCAGAAGTGTTCTATGGGGGACACGTCGTACAGTCCGGGCCCATCTCAATCGCAGACGACGATGTTGCGCTGTCAATAGCTGTCCTCTGTATGGTCTAAAAGCCCTGATTCCATGAGCCCTGAGTCTCCTGGCCACTGTCTGTCGACTAACCCTGTGACCTAAGGCATTTGTCGCCGATGACGTCACTGTCAGGAAGCGATTACGGAGGTGCAAGGTACGCAAGTACCGGTCATCATGGGGCGTGGTCACCCTGGGTCTGCCTGTTCTTGGCCTGTCAGCGGTCCGCCCTGTCTGTCTGTAACGTTGCATCAAGTTGGTAACGGCAACACGGGAGCAACCGAAGGTTCGTGCAATATGGGCGCGGGTGGCTCCCATCTGTACCATACCCAAGGCTCGTTCACGTTGTTCGACTGTGAGTCGTGGCATTTCTTTTGTGTTTTTTTATCACTGTGGATGTCTGACTTGCCGTTGCAATCGTTTTATACCCTTACCCGCACGTGCATTTGCAGTTGTGCGTGGTACACGTGTTTTTCACTTTTTCGCGTGTCATCTCGGAATCCTTAAACAGACGATTAACATTTTCTGCATACACTATTGTTGTATTTAGGTTATGTGTTTTGGATAGACTTCATCGAAAAAAAAATTATACTTTGTCTGAAATTTATATTTTCAGTTGGTAAAGTTTCCTTTGGACGTCAGTTTATATATTCTTCAATCTAACTTACCTGTGAACAAGCCAGATATCTACAAAGGTGCAAGTAGAAAAAAACATCTGAGTAAAAGATTTCCTTTGTCAATTTCCATTTTTGTATGGGCTAATTAAGTCGTTAAACAACAAACAAACTAATTAACCAACACCCCAAGAGGTGTGGAGCGGCGAAAGATCTTGTGTCCACAAAGTAGTTTTGACAAGCACAGATATCTGGCCTCTATTTGTTTTTAATTTAATGCTTATACACATGAAGAAATCCCTTGTTTTTATAGACTCGTGCAGCTTTATATAGTATGATTATATAGTGTGTCTACGAGACTGTTGCTGCAACACTAGACAATACGTTTCCTCAGTGACTTTCAGATTCTCCATCAAACCGCTATCCATGCACGCAGGGTACAAAAACATGTTTTGCATGAAAATAACCAACTGTACGGCCAATATGAATGGAGCCATGCCTGGGTAGGAAGGTGTACTTTGATTTAATTATAGGTATCCTTGCAGTTTAGTCCGTGCTATCAACTAACAGCTGCATTAACTCACTCACGTATTTCAGCTTGAAATATTCGGCTGTAACTGAAATGCTCTGTAACATCACACCAGTGACGATCTGAAACCTTTAGTCATAAACGCCTTGCCTGTTGCACAGATGAAAGCATGGCCAGACGATGATATAAATCCCCGCTGACACTCCCTTCTTTCAGGACGCCCATATCTCGTCTAGGTGTTGAATGTTTAATTACTCCAGGCATTGCTACCATGTCAATAAGCCGTCGATAGAAAAATACGTCGTAACATTTTATTTAGGCGTCGATTTAAGTGCTAATTGTTTCAGTTTAATGTATTGAATTCCTAAATAATGACTAGACTTGAGCAAATACATACATGCACAAATATCTGGACTTTCTGTATATTTAATGCTTATACACCTGAAGAAATCCCCTAATACGTGCCTGCAAATGCATATGAACTATATTATTAGGTTTTACAAAACACCACATATTATATGGACATGTGATGGGTAGTACTCTCAATACACTTCAGTCTGCACTACACCTGATAATTGTTCATAAGTGCAGTATCCAGTGATTCACGTGTCACAATGGGGCAATAATGACGTAATCAACCTTACTACAGTCACGCGTGCCCCGAGGGTACACAGGAACAGATGACACCGTATATCCCGAGACTGCATTACGTCACGAGACAATAGCCGCGACACAACACTTCTGACATGCGCGCACGTGGCCAGCAAAGTATCGAACATTCGAACATTTGAAATTGGCAAAGTGTGTTTTAAATTAATTGTATGATGCAACTTATTTACAGTTTGCTCACGACCTGACAACAAATCATTCGACAACCATCCCTGCCCTCGGCTCCCTTCCTTGGAACAGAGACCATAAAATACAATCTATGGTCTCTGGTTGGTAGTAGTAATTAAAACCTGTCTTCTCAACTCATATTTGTGTCAGACTCCTGTTGTTTCGGGTAAATGAGTACAAAAATAATCAATTCGGTCATGGTGTCCTTAACGATTTTTTTAAGAAATAAAATATGAAATACCTCCCTCTTAACTTTTCATGACAAAACGGCATTATCCGATGAGTCAACGGTTTAATTTCTACAGTCTTATAACGGATCGACAAACTGTCTGAGTTATCGGGGACTCTTACCTATCGCTTGAATCTAACTAGCGTGTGAAACAAGTCCCTACATTATTCTTCATGTTCCGCATTATCTTCCGTACTATTGAAACCCCTTTTAATTTGTTTTAATGATTAAAGCTGGATTGATGTTAATGTTTTGTTAAATATAACTCCAGGTTACCGACCAGTTATCGCCATTTCTTCATGTTATTTCTCACATATTCCGTGTAACAATAACCTTCCTTTTTGTGAAACCATGAGCAAATGCGCTTATTTCTGTCCGTGGAATAAGATTCAGTTGATTTCTTTTATAACGCTACGATAGGGAATCAAAACAATGGAACTAGAACCTTTCCGTCGCCCTAGGCCTACTATACCAGTTATCGCCATGGTCCTAACAGCACGTGCACCGCTTCAGTCATACAAATTACATGTTTTAGTATCTTGGGTATCGCACTTAATTTTTTATTCATCAAAATGCCATTTTCAATTTGTCGTCTGCAAACTGGCAAAAAAACAATATTCCCATAATTCGATCTACACATGCTTATCTTTAACCTTATGCACTATGGATTTCGCGATATATACAGGCTATGCATTTTTGGAAATAGAACTCAAAAAGGTTTCCGAATTGTATTTTGGGGAAGAAATGACAGAAAGATAGAAATTGAGCAATGACAGAACAGAAAGTGCACCATCGTGTTGTTGATTTATAGTTTCGCGTGAATTGGTCATGGGACACCGCTCGCGTATCTTTTCTAAAGTTGTATTTGAGCAAGGTGATTATGGTGGGTTTTTTTTAAAATATTTCCTCACAAGAGTCCGTTTTGTACATCATATTCGGAAACATATATTTCTCTCTTTTAATGAAAACGAGCAAATTAAAATGAGATGCGATCACGTGAGCGCTAAAACGGGGAATGGGTGATAATTGGTCCTTGCCGATAACCGATCGCTAGCCGGTATATAATTTGTTTAGTTTATTTAATTGAGAAATTTCAAAGAGAGTATAATATGTCAAAAACAGAGACCATATATACCGATATGGTCTCTGTCAAAAACAACACACACACGGCTGGCTACTCTACCCAAAAGTGAAAAGGTAAAACAGACTCTCTGATGTCTATTGAAATACATAATTTAGAAAGATTTTTTATATCTTATTTATAACCTCTTCTCAAAACTGACGCGCAAAGAAAGACACAATTTCGTTCCGTAAAATAGAAAAATGAAAATGTGCCCTGTAAAGGCGCTGACCAATCAGAAACGCTTTCACATCGCGGTCCATGTGCTTATAAAACTTATGCGCAGCGTGTCTACATTAAGTTTACCATCAGAGAAGGCTGCAAGGAGGTTTGCTCGCGGCGGGAAATCTCCACTACGTCATAACTAGGTCTGGCAATATTGGGTGGTTGTCAGCTGACAAATTAAGGAGAGCTACATCGTTAGTTCTCAAACAAAACACAATGGCGGACGAGTGGGATGATGGAAATACGAGCGTGAGTATTACAGTAGTTCTTCGTGACAACTGTTTGTCACAGTTTCGCACTGTCAACGTGACAAAGTTAGGCTTTTGATGGGGTTGAATCAAAATGTCGGACCTGCAAGGGGACATTTGCATTGTCATTCTCACTCAAAAGTTAAAACGCCTCCTGTATATGTCGATGCCAGTATGGGGTTTTATTATCTATTTCTTGACTTCCATGTATGCAGTCCTGGCATGGCCATCGTGTGTTGGTATGATACCACACGTGTTTTTGCTCAAGGGAAGTGACAAGCAATCTTTGACGAAAAATAGATTCTACTAGCCTAATTTAATTGTCAACTATTTAACCTGACATGGATATAGCATTGTGTGATCTGCTATTGATTTAGGTTGTAAGTATTTATTAATATTTGGGCCACTGTGCAGTGCTTGCTATGTTTGCAAATTTATGTGTTTGTGGTGATATAACTCATGTTCTGACTAAAGGGGGTAGCTTAGCCAGATAGAACAGTAGTCGAGTAGTACAATCATCAATGCACATTTGTTTACATGAACATATATTAATAGTTTACAAATATAGACAACAGTGGTGAGCATGCATAGACTTCTCAGGAACCGAGCCTGTTCCTGGGAGGGCAAGAACTATATGCAACTGTAAGGTCAGCACATCATGCTAGTGGTGTGTTGGAGACCCAGAACACCTTGCCTAACCTCAGCTAGGCTAAGTATGAGACCTTCCTATTTTTCTTCTAACCAAGGCTTGTATATCTATGGTCATAAATATAAACAACTTATACAGCAGCAATGACCTAGTTGCTCAGCTGGTTCAGGATGGCTGATAGTCAATGTACAATCCAATGGGGAAAACGTAAAACTTACGGATAAGAACGGTTTTCTTATTTACTCACCAACTTCTAGAATGCCAATCAAACAGTACAAAGGAGATTAACCAGTTGGCAATTGGCTACATGATAATTAGCCTTTGGAATTAAGTGTTCACTCAGACAAAAGTTGTCCAAACTGATCATAAGACACAACACTAAGTATATAGAACAGAATAGGGCTTTTCATCAAGTAACTACCAGTTGTCGCCATCATTTTAACAGCACATAATCTCATGTATTTCTTCAGTTAATTAAATTACATTTTTCATTATAATGGTTTAATATTCATTATTTTGTTCATTAAATTCTGGAAACAGTTGTAAGCCAATATTCCCCAGAATATCTACACTTGCACAAAACAACACTATGTACTATGGATTTCACTATATAGTCAGGTTATAATTTTTTTTTTTTAAATTGCTTAATTTGAATTTGGGGGAAGCAATCATCTTTCACTGTCCACATAGTGGCTGTTTGTAGCCAAGAGTTAAAGCATTTGCTTGTCACACCAGAGGCCAAGGTTCGACTCCCTGTGTATATCTCATCTTGTCCATGCTATTGCTGGAATATTGCTATTGTCAGGTAAACCCATAAATTCTACATGGATATCAGAAATACTGGTTATGACACAACATGACGTCTTGTTTCTCTTAAAATCCTGACATGGCATTAACTTTCATATATATATTTCAGGCACCCTCCCAGGGATTTGGAGCTGGGTAAGTTAGCAAATCTCTAAGCACTATTTCATACTTTAATAAAATTCAGACACAGCCAATGATGATATGTACCTTTCCTAAACAATAGCTTGTCAATGGGTCCATATGAAGATATATGATAAAACTTGTCTTGCTTGGTCTTTGTCATGGGTCTGGTAAAAGTAGACATGTAGACATAACATTAACTGCTAGTATATATTTTTCAGTCAAACTGACCTTTGAACATCCAAGTTAGAATAGGTCTTCAACAACCCATGCTTGCTGCAAGAGACAACTATGCTTTTCGTAAGAGGCAACTAACAGGTTGGGTTGGTCAGGCTCGCTGACTTGGTTGACGCATGTCATTGTGTCCCAGTTGCGTAGATCAATGCTCATGTCAATCACTGGATTGTCTGGTCCACACTCAATTTACAGACCACCGTCATATGGCCGGAATACTGACACGTTAAACAAACAATTTAACTGACTTTGTCCCTACTGTACCCTACATTTATCATCATTTGAAGCCAGATATCTACAAAGGTACAAGTAGAAAAAATATCTCAGAAATTTTTCCTTTGTCAACAGGACCATTTTTGTATGTTCTTATAAATAAGTCATTTTAACTAGAAAAGCACCCTTTTTTAGGTTGAGGTCAGCTCCTGGAAGCTGATTACATTATCAAAACATTCAAGAGAGTACTGAAACCGACTGGTACTGGCTGTCTTTACTGTTAAGACAACTCATTAATATTATTTAGTAAATGATGTTAACTTGAAGAATTTGGGGGTTGCAAAAGTCCTTGCCTGATCCATACCAAATGGATAAGTATATATGCTCCTTACTTGCCACTTACCATGAGTTGACTGCTTTTGAGCTTGAATGTATTTTATAATGCAGGAGGGGCTTTGGAAGAGGCGGCTTTGGTGTATCCAATGGAACCGATGGTGTCAAGAAAGTGTTTGGATTCCGTGGCCGAGGAGGCTTAGCTAAAGAAAGTGAAAACAGTTCTGGTGACAGCACCAGTAGACCAGGTGGATTCGGGACAAGGAATGGAGACACTCAGAATGGGTTTGGTTCCAGAGGGGGTTTCGGGAGCCGTGGAGGCTCCCGAGGGGGTTTTGGTGGTTCCAGGGGCACATCAGATAATGATGGAGGATGGGGGGATTCAGGGAACTCCGACTCGAAACCAAGTCGGGGTGGTTTTGGTGGTAGCCGAGGTGGTTTTGGAAGCCGGCCACAGGCAAATGGACAGAGTACTGATGACAACAGTTGGGGAGGAGATTCCAAACCAAGTAGAGGAGGATTTGGCAGTAGAGGAGGATCCAGAGGTGGAGGATTTGGAAGCAGGGGAGGTAACTGTCATCTGACACACATGAATAACTAACATTGAAGAGTATTCAACAAATAACTAAATCTATGTCAGTGCAGTGCTGGACAAAATGATTGGCCAACTTATGTGTAAAAGATGTTCACGTCAACTTGCCTGAAATCTTTTGACAATATTAATTATTTTGATAATATGAAACAATGTTGTTACTTTTCCAACTGATCTTGCAGGATACAATATTTCTATTTACTACTCAGCCGCATCATACCAAGATATGTTGAAAAAAGATGGTACTTGTTTACTCTGCTTTGAGCTTGGCATTAAGGGGCTAAAACAAGGACTGGTCAGCTCGGAGTCAGTATGCTGTGTCTCAATGGGGTATTTGTATGAAACTGCCTCGTGGTATTTCAGTGGTCTAGCACCATAAAATCATCATTAGTCCGGACTAGTCCCAGACACACAGACACACACACACACACACACACACACAGACACACACACAAACACGTAAATTGCAACATTCTTGGACGACGCTAGACCCCATTTCATCTCACCTTCTATTTAATATGTATGCAGACTTAAGTAGCTAATTTTACAGACCACAGACAACTTTCAACTCAAACTATCTTGATTCTGTTTAAATTATTTTACATGTTTCAGGTTTTGGATCAAGTGACAATGACGATGCTCCAAGGTAGGTAGTTGAACATGTTCAATAATGATCACTAGCACAAGTGGCAGTTCTAAGCTATTATCACATTAAATAGTAAACAAGATGTGTCAGTGATATTAACCAGATACAATGTTTGTTTTCAGGGGTGGAGGTTTTGGTGGTCGTGGTGGCAGTGAGTATTTGCATCTTATCTTAGTGTTACGTTATGTCTGACTTCACTGTATTCTTGCTGTTGTTGCTAAACAGGAATCAAAGTAGGATTGGAAAGGAAGCAACACAGTAATGATAATGCATTTGCAGAGACACGTTGATGTATTTTTTGTATACTGTGAATGACATCAATGATTGACAATCTATTTTGACTTGGCAGTGTTCAAACGGAAAACATGGAAGTCGTGGGGTTCTTGTCAAAACACTAAGGTTAAAGGGTCCATAGACCAAGACCTCAATCACCTGCATTAATTAAGATCACTGCTTCAGTATATTTCATGTTCACCTTTAAAAAGCCCTGATTTTGAAAACGGGTTTGCTATCCCATACCCACATTCGTGTGTTTCACCAGTGCTACATGTCAGACCCTGCATAATTTCATGCTTCACTTGCCCACTCGCTCACTCAAACATTTCATGATTTATTTCCACTGTTTCTCCTTATTTGTCTAGTTTCCTATGCCTTCAAGATATTTCTTGTCAAGTCAGCTTGTGTTATGCACTTGATTGTCTCTAAGCAGCAGTGTTGTGTATGTGGACCTCCCATGATGATGGATAGCTGTACATGAAACTGGCTGTGTGTAATTTCCTGCATCTATTCATTGCTTATCATGCTTCTGCACCTTCTTGCATCATCAGGTAGCGGCGGTGGCAGCGGGTGTTTTAAGTGTGGGGAGGAGGGGCACATGTCCCGAGAATGTCCTAACGCTGACAGCTCAGGAGGTAAAACTTTGTCAGATGAGTTCAGGGAATTGCCTGTCTGGTTGCTGTCTTGTCAATATCATCCATACTGTAGTTGGCTTGCACACGCCGCCTTTCTTCTCATTTCCTGAATAATGACTTTGATCCATCTGTCATGTCTACAAATGGTGATAGCTTGCATTGAGATAATGCTTGTTGCATTGTTATTATGGAATGTGTATAAGTGTCCTTGCTTGATATTTTCATTTTGTTTACGTCTACATTTCCATCCATACCTAGCCTCACAGTTTATCATGTTGGTTTCACATGAAATGTTACTGCTGAAGCATATATATCTCATATGTTTGTTGTCCACTTTCAGGGCGAGGTGGAAGCCGTGCCTGTTTCAAGTGTGGTGAGGAAGGCCACATGTCCAGAGAGTGCCCCAGTGGGGGTGGAGGTGGGTTATAGTTTCAAGATTGCCCTTCTCTAGGCCCTCAACCCAAAATGCACATTTTAGCTTTTACATGGATGGGCTGCTCAGTTAGTGACTGCATGTTGTAATTTGCTGCCATTCAATGTTCTATATGTTTGCAGTGGTCTGTAATAATCGGGTCTAGGACAGACAAGCCGAGTGTTCGTCTGAGTCCCATTAAGTTGAAACATGTATAAACGAGTCTATGTAAGTACAATCTCGGATCTCTGATGACTGTTGTTTGTCATGTAAGTGAAACTTAGAGGATTTGAGTGGGTTCAAAGATTGTGAGCACAAGTAAGGGTTAGTAAGACACAAATTTGAATTGTTTTACATGCCCTTTGTGCATTTGGACATAAGTATTAAGTTGCATTTTTTAATAATAGGATGCACTAATGCATGTTTTTGGGGCACAGTCGAGCCCTGATAGGTCACAACAATATAGACAGAACTTGGTTTAGAAGTTTGGTTCCACTTCAATATCAGAACAAATGTCAATATTCTTTAATAAATGTGAACTTTTGCAGTTCAACTGTAGTGGATAGTCTTGGTGTTTTCAGGCGGCGGTGGGAGCCGTGCCTGTTTCAAGTGTGGTGAGGAAGGCCACATGTCCAGAGAATGTCCCAGTGGAGGAGGTAGGTCAGATTTCATTTTTTTAGATTGTTCCCAAGGTCTTCAATGATACTGATAGTAATAATGTGTTTGGAAATTGTATGATCTTTACTGATCAATACTTCAGTAGCACACAAGAAAGAAGCTGCATGTACATCTACAATGGGCTCTTCCGAATCTGAATGTGGTGGTGCTTTTGTCATTTCAGGTGGTGGTGGTGGTGGAAGCCGTGCCTGTTTCAAGTGTGGCGAGGAAGGCCACATGTCCAGAGAGTGTCCCAGTGGAGGAGGTATGTCCACTTTGTGAAACTGTACACTCAGGTGTATGCATGTGGTGATTCACCAAGAATCAAGGCAACACGAGTGTCAGTAATAGTGTTATACAGTAAGCCATGTTAACATCCCCGACATGAATGAAGTCTTGCATGCGTATCAAGTGTTGGTCCCGTAAATTGTCTTTTTAGTGTTGTTCCTTGTTATTTAACATGGTGCATAGGGTGTGTAATTGGGATAAGCTTTCTCAGAAACTACTGAAGTTAGTTTGTCTAAGAGATACTTATTAAAACTTGAGGTTTTTTTAAAGAAAAGGTGTCTTTTGTGGTAATTAGTTTTCACATTTAATAGTTTTTTCTGATATCAAGTGGCCCAAGTGCAGGGATGTTAAATCTCCGCGGAAACGCCGAAAATCACGTTTTTTAAAACAGTAGTCCTCAGAAAAAAAATCAACTTCCGAGTAAAAATATAATCAAAGATTTAAAAAAAACAATCCGAAAAATATGATCGATCAGAGCTTTCAGCAGCATAGGTTTTCGGACATCAAACGTTTTCTGTCATGAATACTTGCACTATAACGTGGGATGTGGCGTAAATACTGAGTCAGATGATGGCTTTTTTTTAAAAGATAAAGTTGTCTTTTTAGCCTATAAGTGAATGAGATGTTTTACAGTTGTTCATGTGATTAACAAGAAAACTATGAATGTTTCTTCAGCGTCCCCAAACCCATAACATGGGGATACCGTATTTGACGTAATAAGCTCCCAGGGCGCTCTCAAAATTAGAAATAGGGGGCTCTTATTAGAATATTATTTTGGTGGGGGAAAAAACAGATTTGAAAGAAATTTTTTGTTTATGCTGACAGACTGAAATGTTTATGTACGACAGATATATTATTCCAGAATTTAATTGCCCATGATTAAGGGTGCATATAACACACAAGTGTGTATTATATATGAATAAATAAGTCTTGTGTACATTGATCAATCGGAAGGGGTGCCAATTGGGATTGTTCACTAGCCAATATATTAGCAAATGTCGCCGTGAGCGCTTATTACGTCTAATACGGTATATGTTGTATTAATGTCATATGTTTGCAATGGAGTTTTGTTTGTTCTTTCATCAAAAGGTAAGTAAGTACAAGGTAAGTTGTTCAATATGCTTCAATATGGGGAAAGGGTCAGACATTGCACGCTTGTGACAGTTGTCCTTATGTCTGGGGAATGGGGGGTGAAATATGGCAGTATTGCTCCCAGATCTGGCGGGTAGCAAGGTGCGCGGAAGCTATGCCTGATTTTTGTACTGATTGACTTTTGCCCCCAGACCCCCCCACCCCTAGACTTTTCCTCTTTTTTTTCGGGAAAATCTGCTCACATCCCTGCAAGTGCCCATCTCTGAACTCTTTTCAACACCATAGGCCGCTACACCGGCCAAGAAGCCTTGAGTCCCCATCAAAATAGGTAGTTTCATAAAACTATATACTGTCGTATTATTCATTTATTAAATCTATCACATTTCCCAATGTCTGAAATAGGTATTCCAATTCAATTTATCGTTTTTTATCGATAGATTAAGAAAATTATTCATTATTTCCCATAATGTTATTTAAAATAAAATTCAACGGGTCCACATCCAACATGTCAAAGAGCCAAATAAAGACATTTCAAGCAAGTCTTTTAATATATTTTACAAAGTATGAAATAAAATCAACAAAAATATATCTAAAATTTGTCAAACTTACATCTAAGTTATTATTTCCATCTTTTCGTGCAACGTTTGTTATGTAAGTCAAATGACATCTGTTTTCGTCGCCCTGATTTCTCAGCTCGGACACAATGTTTAATGCCAAAATATATGTATGAAAAATCTTTGTCACAGCATGTAACCTAGCATGATACATCCACGAAGTTCCAGTTTTAATATTGATCATGATCTCATCTTTAATACATTCAGAATAACACGATTTAAGAATAACCTTTTGTCAAAGTCTGAAATTCATCATACACAAGGACAGTACCATTGCTGTAATTTTATTGGCTGCCTTTGGTCACATGCTCAAATTTGACTAATCATGAACCTTGTGGCAGATTTCGGCAAGAAAGCATCATTAGAAACCAATTTTTATCCATTAAAATGTTGCAGCTACGAAAAGACTCCAGGTAGGTTACTATCGTGTAGATAACAAAACAAGCTTTCTAATGGTGTGTCACATGTCAGCCTTTGACGCACATGTTATATTCATTCAAAGCTTAAAAAACGGAGGTATTTCTTAACGGTACTGAGCGGACAGCTGCTGTTATCAGGAAAATGATGACATATATTATTTATGATTCTTTTTAAAATTTTGCGATTATGAAACAATGAAAATAAAAAAGGAATAGATGAGTGAATTTTATGAAATCTTATATTTGCCGAAAATCATCAAATTCTTGCTTCCTTGGTTCTTAATCTGAACGTTATGAATGTGTTGGTGTACATATTTGTATTTACAACAAACTTAGTCTTGAGACTAAAGTTCATGAAGGGCTGTAATAACCTTATTAGCAACATACGTAAATCACGACAATATTGTTACATTACTTGATATTTTTTGCTCGGATTTCTAAATAGTTTTCATTGAACCAAACATGAGAATCATGTCCAATATTATTTAAAAAAAACAATTTTTTGGTAAGATGCCCTCTTTGGAGACCATAGATGTATTGTGTATGAGGCTAAGATATAGTTTGCATTTCAGGAGGTGGCGGTGGTAAAGGTTGTTTCAAGTGTGGAGAGGAAGGCCACATGTCCAGGGAATGTCCTAATGCAGACAGCTCTGGCAAAGGTGATGTATAATATTTACAATAATTTCTAAAAGGTATTCTAAAACTATTGCCGTGGTCCTTAAATGTTTTTGAGTAGTATATTAAAAGGTCACTTAATTATACTCAAGGGATAAACTAAAGACACTTACACTAGCCTTTTTAGCAATGTCATTGAGGGAAGTTTGATTTTGTTGAAGTAACATACTCGGTGCTCCAGTTTAAAGGCCATACAGGTGTATGCACACCTACGAAAAATACAGATACGATCTTCATTGAATGGAGAAGTGTAGTAATGCAGGCCTACATAGGTAAATACACTATGAATTTCAACAGTGTCAAACAAGTTTCAAACGTGCAGACAAATAAGGGCTGCAGTTGTCCAGTTCACAAACGTCGGTCAAACTTGAAACTATGTGCTCTTTAGCCAGAGTGCTCTTTAGCCAGAGTGCTGTTTTTCTGGTGTGACCTTGACAGAGGGAACAATTACTTCCTTGAACAATCAGTGGCACAAAATTATCCCAGAATATCCCAGTACACTACTTCAAAACTTCAGCAGTATATACTCTTCTGGAGCACTTATACTTTTGTATAACATAACTGTATATGTCTGGTGTTCTTCTATGGATGCGTAAAACAGTTACATTGTAATTCTTATGGTTTTGAAACATGTACCGGGTAAGTGCAAAATCATCAATATGTGTCAATTTCACAATCAAACCCCCAAGCCCATCTAAAATTACTGTATTCACATTTAAAGGGAAAGAGTGTGTAAATCATAAGTGGAGTCATCCATTTAACGAAATAGAGGATAAGGCTTCGGCAGACATAACCTGAACAATGTGGTCTCTTCAGATTGTCAGTGAGTTGTCTCCTGTACTAGTCACATTTGCTAAAACTTCCACCATAATTGTACCTTCACGTTTCCTGCAGAGGATCGGCCACCCCCATACATTCCCCCTGCACTGACCGAGAACGAAGACGAGATATTCCAGTCCATAGAGAAGGGCATAAACTTTGACAAATATGACAATATCAGTGTGGAAGTGAGCGGGAGAGACCCTGTTGGTTTCATCAGCTGTTTTGAGGAAGCTGGTCTTTATCCTACGTTTTTGAAGAATGTTCGGAAGGCAAAGTACGAGAAACCAACACCTGTACAGAAGTATTCTATTCCTATTATTGGTGCTGGTCGGGACCTGATGGCATGTGCCCAGACAGGATCGGGCAAAACGGTGAGATTCATATATTATCTTCGTTACTGTTGAAATACATGCTTGTACATACTGCTACCATTGACCCTTTACTTTTTTAGTGGATGGTTGAATCGCTGTGGTCATGCATACCGTATATGACCGCGTATAAGCCAAATTTTGAGGACCAGAAAAAAGATTCCGTAGAAAGGGGTCGGCTTATCCACGGGATACACTTTCATGATAGTATTTTTCAGATCGTGATCTGTCAAAAACATCGCCTGAATGACGGTCCGTTAGATCACAACTTCCCGAAAGTTTGGAAGTTGCCACGACTAGAGCCATTATTGTTATAAATTATCAATAGAGTTATTATTATACACCAATGTTGTCATTATTAAAAAAATGTTATGCATGTTACTACTTCCGATAATAAGTTTTCAATTGAATGTTCAAAGTTTATCGTTCTTCGTAAACTACGCGATCTTTACATGTAACAATATATGTAATTCACAGCTATAATATATAATCCCCAGATGAAATCGCCAATAGCTATTACATACGTTTTGCAAAGTTCATAAATTGATAGTGAACAAGTGTCTACCTTTATTGAAAGAGGCAAATAAACAACTGTATCGGCGAGTTATTCCTTTCGCCATTTGCAAAAACATGTGATCAGCTGTTTCCTGTGACGTCACAAACGGTGACCACTGTGATTGCTTCCTGTTGTTTAAAGCAACACGGTACACAGGGAAATGAGCATTGATAATAACGGGCCGATTGGTATTGTCATGTTGTTTACACAAACAATTTCAAGTTGTGGGTGCTTAGCGATCGTGTTGGGAGTAGGGGCTTAATTCCTTTGTTTTTGAGAGATTAGTTTAATAAACTGGAGAAGCCTGTGAGTAAGTGATGGTCATTCAATGTGTTCATAGTATGATAGTTTATTTAATTCAATTGGATTAACATACAATAGTGGTGTAAAGGGGGTTATTAAAGTTGGTATATTTTTACTGACTGACATTCTCATCATGAGTTTAAAACGAAAACGCCATGCTTACGATGCTGAATTCAAACTGCAAGTCTTCGCTCTAGCCGATATATTTTCTCACGGGTTCATAATTCTATATACACCGATTCACAAAATGGCGCTTCGTTGTTGATGGCAACATATAACGATCATTATGAGATTAAAAAAACCCACGAGAAACAGCTTCCCACATTATGAAAGTGGATGACTGGTTTGTTAAATCTTTATTAGAAATAATAATGACTTTTTCAATATAATTACAACGTTTTTCATCTTATATTTTTGAATATCTGCGAGTACTGGCACATGTCTTGCAGTCCGACTTCGCAGTGTTTTTTGCCTTTCAATTCCTGGTTCGGCTTATCTGCGGGTCATACCATTTTCTTTCGTATTTCAATGGTCAAGTTAACACCTCGGCTTATCTACGGGGTCGGCTTATCCGCGGTCATATACGGTAGTCGTGAGTAATGTACATATGACCAAGGTCTGCTGACACCTTACTTGCTGACCGAGGTCTGCTGACACCTTACTTGCCGATCTTCTTATGGAATATGTTTTGTTAAATTTTGCTGTGCAGAGTTAATTCACTTGTGGTTCTTGGGATTTGACCAAAAGGCTGAAATATCCTCTTCCTCAGAATGGTCCCAAGAAATGGACATGAGTAGTAGTAGTAGTAGTACAGTCAGCGTTTTTGTAACATGTAGTAATATTGTTTTCTGTGGCATGGTTTTCAGTCGAAACATGGAACTTACCATCTTTTTCCTTCATGAATAAGAACAGTAGAGGATGTCCTACAATGGTCTAATTTCACATGGACTTGTAAAATGCCTCTAGAAGCTCAGAAGTCACGAAATGGAAAAAATCTTACCCAAAAGCTTGTACAGTGATCGCTCGCTATTGCACTCTTCGATAAAGCGCTACTTCGGTTATTACGCGCGGTAACGCATGGCTCCCAAAATTTATGTACACTTTTAATACTGAGAGTTTTACACAGACATGATTGTATTGTTGTTCGTTGTTTATTTGCACATAACGCTTCTCATTGCATAATAAACCGTTTATCGCTGAATGGAGTTCTAATAATCTGTTTGAAAACATCCGCGGCAGGTCCCGGAAATACGATTGTTCTACTAGTTAACTTTTCACACTATACATCCTTTGATCTTAGAAGCGCATGCATGCAATAAAAGAGAACCACAAGTGAAGTTTATATTCTTAATTAGTGGGCAATCCAATTTAAGGCTAAACTGTCACACACATGTAGTTGCTGTCACAACACGGCGGTCATTCATTTCGTAATCGCGCTTTCGTAACATCGCCCTGTTTTTTCCCCGTAGTTATAACAAGCGATTTCATTGGATTAAAATTTGTTTCTAATGACGCTTTCTTGCCGAAATCTGCTACATGTTTCGTGATTGGTCAATTTTGAGCACATGACCTCAGGCAGCCAATCAAGCTGTGATACAAAGCTTGTGTTTGATAAATTTCAGAAGTTAGCGAAAGATTTTTTGTTAAATCGTGTTATTCTGAACGTTTTAAGCAGGAAATCACGATATATATTTAAAATATGGAACTTCGCGAATGTATCGTGCTAGGTTACGAGCTGTGACAAAGATTTTTCATGCATATATTTTTGCATTAAACGTTGTGTCCGAGCCGAGAATTCAAGGCGACGAAAGCCCAGATGTCATTTGACTTACATTCCACGCGATCGCACGAAACGATGGAAATAATAACTTAGATGTAAGTTTGATTACTTTTAGATATATTTTTGTTGATTTTATTTATCACTTTGTATAATATATTTAAAGATTTGCTTAAAATAGTCTTTATTTTGCTCTTTGACATGTTCGATGCGGACCCGTTGTCGAAATGTGTGTCCGAGAATTTTATTTTCAATAACATCACGGGAAATAGTGAATAATTTTTTAATTTATTGATAAAAAATGATAAATTAGAATGGAATACGTATTTCAGACATTGTGAAATATGACAGATTTAATAAATGAATGATATTACAGGTAGATCTAGGTCCATAAAAATATATACTATTTTGACGTGACGTGAGATAAACACATAGGCCTATTGATGATTTGAGATTTGCCGAGCATGCTCCCCCGCCTCGGCCTCGGTTAAACGGCTCATCGTCTATAACGCCCACCAATTATTTGGACCCCATTGGTAGCGCAATAGCGAGCGATCACTGTAGTTACTTTCTCTAAAAGTATTTATGCATGCACTTTTTTATTCACAATGTACCATCTCCAGCATGGGGCCCTGCTTTAAAAAGGGTGAGGTTAAAGTAAGGTCAACGTGGTGGTCAAGGTCAGCGTTCAGCTTTTTGTAATACAGATCTATCATTGTCAGTGTCTGAGGCATGAAACTATATATCTTCATGTATCTTTACAACTCCTTCCACAGCTAATGTTTGTGTCATCTTTGTCAAATGGCAAAGTGATCTTTGAGGGTATTGTGCAACGTGCTGTATGATGTCAATCACTGTATTGTCTGGTCCAGACTCGATTATATACAGACCGCCGTCATATAGCTGGAATATTGCTGAGTGCGGCCTTAAACAACAAACATTGCAAACAGCTCTAGTAATGAAATGTATAATAATTAAGGTAGCATAACCTCCCTTGTTGAATAAATATTTGTATATTTATGCGGTATGATTAACTGTTTCCAGGCTGCCTTCTTGTTGCCGACATTAACCTGTATGGTGAAGGAAGGATTGACTACCAGTCAGTTCTCGGAGGTACAGGAGCCTCAAGCCATCATTGTGGCCCCTACCAGGGAGCTGGTGGTGCAGATCCACTCTGATGCTCGCAAGTTCTCCTGGGGGACGGAGGTTCGCCCCGTGGTGGTGTATGGGGGGACGTCTGTGGGGCATCAGCTGAGGGAGGTGGAGAGGGGGGCTCACATTGTAGTGGGGACTCCAGGGAGGCTGCTGGATTTCATTGAGAAGGGCAAGGTGAGAGAGACCTGTTCCCACTGTCGTATCTGCTTCATCAGTCCCAAGAAAAGTATTTCCTTTTTTTACAGTTGCCCAGAAAATAAAGTAATGGTAAAATGTTTTTATTCATGGAATTTGTACTCGAATGCTACCTTCAACACGGGACAGATTGTTTGGGCAAGGGAGTTTTATTTTTTGTTACATCCTGAAGCTCTTGCAAGAAAAAAATCCTAAAATAGTGCCAGATATGTCTGTCTGTGGATGATATATGATTATCTACTGCCAGAAATCTTGACTTACTTTGCTGTAAGCTGATTTCGTATGCACTGTCACACTCGAAAATTTGTGACAATCACACTGTGAGTTGTTTGTCTGACCCAGCCCTGATTGCCCTTGTGATGAACTATTGATGAATGAGGATTGGTGTTTGTTTTTCAGATCGGTCTGGGTAAAGTGAAGTTCCTCATTCTGGATGAGGCTGACAGGATGCTGGACATGGGCTTTGAGCCGTGTATACGCAAGTTGGTAGATCAGCTGGGGATGCCTCCTAAGACCCAGAGACAGACACTCATGTTCAGTGCTACGTTTCCCACCGAGATACAGAAACTAGCTGCTGATTTCCTTAATGATTACCTGTTCCTGACAGTGGGTCGTGTAGGTGGAGCCAACACAGATGTGGAACAGAACTTCTTTGAAGTTGACAGACTGCAGAAGAGGGAGAAACTCTGCTCCATTCTCACAGCATCTGGTGAGATTCTGTTTGCCTGGGAGTTCAAAGCGGCATGAAACACAACTCCGTCACTGTTCCCCTGGGTATCAATGTTAGGGGAAATTTGTTAATTTTTAGGTTTTCAGATTTTGTAAAAAAAAAATTCAAATATTAAAACCTTTTTTATATATATTTCTTCTGATAACTTTATGATGTTTGATGGGACCGCCTAAGTGGTATAGTGGATAGAGTGTCTGCTTGGATAGTGAAAGTTTGGAGTTTCGATCCCCAGATGTTTCATGCCAAAACATTTGTTGTTACCCTGCCTGGCACTGGCATTAAGGGGTATAATGTCTTTGGTTAGGGTGTTCATCTTAAACTTGGCATATCTAAGTGGGCTAGCATTAAGAAACTGGAATAAGCGTGGACTTGTACAATCAGACACGTTAGCATACACATTGTTGTATAAGTGCAGTAATCTTGAATGCGCCATTAAGCCTCATTTCATCTCGCTTTTTCTTTGATGGATCAGGAAAAATTAAGGAACAAAGTTGTTTTTCTTTGAAGTAATTGCTAAAATGCATCACTTATGAAAAATGGAGTGCTCTGACATAAGAAATCTCCTTCAATTTGAATATTACAAGACAATTCTTTCTTTAGTCCTTTTTGCACTAACTGACCAACCGAAATAACATTCAAAAATATATAAATGTTGAGCTACACATTGTTTATTTTTATCCAACTATTTGGTTTGGAAAATCATGTGTAAGCCATAAGATGTGAAACTGGTATGTGAGCAGTGCTTGCAACAGTTCATTCGCTCAGAAGGTGTTTCTATAATTTTGTCAGTTGGCATGTTTGTCAACCAACTCTTATTTGCCCTTTCAGGTTCTGACAAGACCCTGGTGTTTGTGGAACAGAAGAGAAATGCTGATTTCCTAGCTAGTTACCTGAGTCAGTCTGGCTTCCCAACCACAAGTATCCATGGGTAGGTGGCACTGTTGGCATGGTAAATTCAGGAATTTCATGTTAATAGCATGAAGGACTCGGATAGTGCACCAGGACCAGAGTTCTTCTACCCAGTAGCTCATCTCTGAAGTGGCTGAGAGTTTAAATATCCACGAATGCACGCATGCACATATATATTGTTGTATTCATCTTTTGTTGCATTACAGTGATCCCTCGCTATTGTGCTCTTCGATAAAGCGCTACCTCGGTTACTACGCGCGGTAACGCATGGCTCCCAAAATTTATGTACACTTTTAATACTGAGAGTTTTACACAGACATAATTGTATTGTTGTTCGTTGTTCATTTGCACATAACGCTTCTCATTGCATAATAAACCGTTTATCGCTGAATGGAGTTCTAATAATCTGTTTGAAAACATCCGCGGCAAGTCCCCGAAATACGATTGTTCAACTAGTTAACTTTTCACACTATACATCCTTTGATCTTAGAAGCGCATGCATGCAATAAAAGAGAACCACAAGCGAAGTTTATTTTCTTAATTAGTGGGCAATCCAATTTGAGGCGACACTGTCAACTCACATGTAGTTGCTGTCACAACACGGCGGTCATTCCTTTTGATTCGGATCAAGTAACCGTATCAAACCAATTAATCTGGCTTAAATGTGTATCTATATTTGTATGAATGCGCATAGTGCTGGTCAAAACTCTCGTTTTCCGTATTTTAAGCAACATGACCAATCAATGCCAATGCCAATCAATTTGCTCTAATGACGCTTTCTTGCTACAAGTTTCGTGATTGGTCAATTTTGAGCACGTGACCTCAGGCAGCCAATCAAATTATAGCTGTGATACCAAGCTCGTGTTTGATAAATTTCAGAAGTTGGCGAAAGATTTTTGTTAAATCGTGTTATTCTGAACGTTTTAAGCAGGAAATCACGATATATATTAAAAATATGGAACTTCGTTAATGTATTGTGCTAGGTTACGAGCTGTGACAAAGATTTTTCATGCATATATTTTTGCATTAAACGTTGTGTCCGAGCCGAGAATTCAAGGCGACGAAAGCCGAGATGTCATTTGACTTACATTAAACGCGATCGCACGAAACGATGGAAATAATAACTTAGATGTAAGTTTGATTACTTTTAGATATATTTTTGTTTTTATTTATCACTTTGTATAATATATGTAAAGATTTGCTTAAAACGTCTTTATTTGGCTCTTTGACATGTTCGATGCGGACCCGTTGTCGAAATGTGTGTCCGAAAATTTATACATCGCGGGAAATAGTGAATAATTTTTTAATTTATCAATTTATCAATAAAAAATGATAAATTGAAATGGAATATGTATTTCAGACATTGTGAAATGTTACAGATTTAATAAATGAATGATATTACAGGTAGATCTAGGTCCATAAAAATATATACTATTTTGACGTGACGTGAGATAAACACATATTGATGATTTGAGATTTGCCGAGCACGCTCCCCTGCCTCGGCCTCGGTTAAACGGCTCATCGTCTATAACGCCCACCAATTATTTGGACCCCATTGGTAGCGTTGTAGCGAGGGACCACTGTACTTTACATGTGGTGCAAGTTGTATGCAAAATGGCAATATAACTTACACACTCACACTAATTGCTGTGGCTTAAAAAGCCAACTCCCTCACTCACATCCGCCTCCATGGTCTACTGGATGGAGCCAACTCCCTCACTCACATCCGCCTCCATGGTCTACTGGATGGAGCATCTGGCTGGTAAGCGGAAGGTTGGTGGTTCGATCCCTCTTGCGTAATACCAACAGACTTTAAAAAAATGTTGTTTCCCTGCCTGGTGTTTGGCATTGGGGGGAGGTAAAACATGGACTCCTGCGGCTCGGGGTCGGTATTTGACTGGGTATCCATGTTAAACAGCAACATGGTATCTCATTGGACAAGTATGAACGAACACACGCACAGTGTTTGTCAAACCTAAAGTCTCCATGCATTTTCTCTTATCTAGTGATCGTCTTCAGAGGGAGAGAGAGGAAGCCTTGCGGGATTTCAAGAAAGGAACTGCTCCTATTCTTATTGCCACATCAGTTGCCGCCAGAGGGTTGGATATTCCTGAAGTGAAACATGTCGTCAACTATGACCTGCCCTCATCTATTGATGAATATGTCCATCGTATTGGTAGAACAGGTCGCTGTGGCAACTTGGGGAAAGCGACAAGTTTCTACTCCCATGACTCAGATAGTGCCTTAGTGAAGAGTTTGGTTCGAATTCTAACAGAAGTAAGTTGTTGAGAGCTCTTGAGCCATAGTGACTGATTGATGAAAGTTTATTACAGTGTTGAATATATGTGTGCTACCCTCATAGTGACAGATTGATGAAAGTTTATTACAGTGTTGAAAATATGTGTGTGTGCTACCTTATTAAGTTAACTACCCTTTGCTCCTCAGGCTCACCAGATAGTGCCTGAGTGGTTGTCGGACTACTCACTGACCAGTGATGGTATTATCGACAGTGCTGTCCATGGCTTGTCAGGGCAATATGGTGGAAAGGATATCCGAAGGGGGAAGGTAAGCTTCATTATTATTTCACATACTAATCAACAATATTTATTAACCATTGTAAAACGTTTTTGAAGCTTGGGGAATTATGCTTATAACAGTCATAGATATCATCAGTTTGAGAAAGGCGAAATACGTCCCAAGCAAAGCCCAGCTGAAGCACTGTGAGCAATGTAGCTGTTACACCTCCCACTATGCATAAGAAGTTAGGCATTCTCAATCTTTTCTTTTACAGTTCAATTCTGGAGGAGGTGGTGGTGGCAAAACAGGCAATGCTTGGGAGAACAGCTGGAGTGGGGGTGGGGGCAGTGGAGCTGCTGCTTCTGCAGATGCAGACGAGGAAGAGTGGGACTAAATTCTTTGCTGGACATCTGGTCCTCGGAGCACAAAAAACCTTTATGTTCATTTAACTTTTTCATATTTTATGAGGTCTACATCGTTGCTGTTGCTTTTCGTACCTCATTTTGACAGATTTTCGAAGCCTTTTGTGAAATTTGGAAGGCTGTATTGACTATGGATTATCCATTGGCATTTGATGCATCTACAGATCTTATGATGCATTCTGTGAAAGAGACAGTATTATGTGCTGCCACATTGCGTCTGTGATTACACTGATGGGAGAAATCTCTACAAGAGAGGACACTAGTCAGATGACAGTTTACAAAAGACTTGCTATTTCTGTTTCATTTCACTGCAAGATTGCAAAACACATGTATTATTTGGTAAAGTGCTCAGACTTACAAGAGTAGGCAGATCAGTTAGCTGTGTGAAGGCAGTACAATCTGAGAGTTTCCGTAAGGCACACTGGAGTCGATCCATCCCTGGCAACCTTTACCTTCTCATACAGCATATGGGCATTTTATAAATGATATTATTTAGCATGGATATTATTATTTGGTCCAGAGATGTGTAAGTGTAGATCATCTGGGCAACTCTTTAGGGATTAAGGAAGATTGCAGGGATGGATTTGTTGCTGCTAAGAGGGTCTCTATCGTGGTGTCCACTTTAGAGACTCGAGTCAGCTGAGAGCTCAATGTACAGAGAATGGGCATGTGTATTTAAACTTGAAGTGAACTCGTAACAGAATACTGAGTGCAATCACGTACTGTGTAGAAACCTGAAGTCAAAGGTCGACTCATAGGGAAATGGGTCAATCTTGCATGAATCCGTCCTTAATTGGAAACATTCCATGGTTGAAGTGGACACAAGGAATTATTCAATAACATCTGGTGCAAGCTAGTACTACGGGTAAATGAATTAACTTTGCTCAATAGCTATCACTGCCCAGTCCTAAGGGTGCAAGTAGTGCTTCCAGCCTTAGTACCCCTGTACCGGCTCTGAAGGTGTTCGGTGGAGTTGATAGCAGATTCCAAGTGAAATCTCATGTGCCAATAGCTATTGTGATGCCAAATCTTTAAAAGTTTGTATACAAAAAAGGTTTTAGTATGATTTTTGCCGTATGGTGCTGTAATATTGTTTTCATTATGGTTACTTTTAATAAAAAATGTTTTGTAATTAGTGTTTTTTTTAATTACTGGAATATTGCCGGTGTCGTGTCGTTTACAGAGCACAACTTGAAAACTGAAAGACTTTTCATCCAAACCTGTGCATGTATTAACCAAGGGCAGGTTTTTCCTTGTTTCCATCGAAACAAGTTAGACTTGGCTGAAACTAGATAGGTGTCTTTTCCGGAGCAGAACTAAAACTATTTAACATTTTTCATCCAAACTTGTACATGTATTAATCAAGGGCTTAAGTGGTTGGTGCCTTTTGCTATTTACAAATTTTATGAAAAAAATTAATATTTTTTGCTGTTTCCATGGCAACAAGTTTGACTGTTCATAGCGGTGTGTTTGTCCGGACCATATCTCTAAAACAAATAAGTACTCTTTCTTGCAACTGTGCACACACAAAGATCATGTTGTCAACTGGTGCCTACTATTTTTTTTCTCTGTGTCCATGGAAACAAGTTTTGACTCTGTTCATAGTGGTATGTACCGGACATAGAAATACAAAGTTCCGAATCCCAATTCCATGGTTTTGATTTGACACCTCAATAACTACTCTTGTATTGGGACAGACGGATTAGATAGAAATTCTCTCATCAAGTTGGACTTGAAAGTATGTCAGATGATTTGTTCCTTCTAATTTGTGGGGACAAGGGGGGGGGGGGGGGGGTTTGTTATCTTCTGATGACTCTTATTAGTTTAGAGAGGGTGTATTACCGAACTGCCAAAGTCTAGGGTACAATAAATATAACAAAGAAGGTAGGGTTCGTCTCAAGAACAAAACCGGGATGTAAAGGGATATTATACAGCTCCGACACAGGGGTGATTAGGTATACAGTGTACAAGCTTTATGATTGTTGATTAACGTGGCACTCAGCAGTATTCCAGCTATATGAAAGCGGTCTGTAAATAATCAAGTCTTGCCCAGACAATCCAGTGATTGTCATCATGAGCATCGATCCACGCAATTGGGATACGATGACATGCATCAACCAAGTCAGCAAGTCTGACCACCCGATCCTCATAGTCGCCTTTTACGGCAAGCATCGGTTTGCAGAAGACCTATTCTACCCCAGATCTTTACGGGTCACAAGCAGGAAATTAAAGACGCAATAATTGTTTCCCTAATAACATTAATTATTGCTCTTCACAAGATGGGATTTTGATACACTGCATGGGGTGATGACCGAACAATTTCAGGGGAAAATGTTCCCTTCTGTTTAAGAGGTCACATTATCCCTGCACCATTTGTGACTATCAGTCAGAGCTTCCATACCATTTTTCCCTGATGAAACCTGGGTGAATAAGAATGATTCCTCTGACCACGTGGCTACCGTAAGATGGACGAAAAGCATCCATAGTACCATCAGGTCATTGTTGATCTGTGGCTTTTTGAATTCTAGTTTTCAAGGTGTTGTGTTCATAGACTGGGGTTGTTTAGATTTTGCATTAGCTGATGTTCCAATAAGTGTCAATGTCATGGATAACACCAGTTATAACATTGGGAACCAGATAATCTCGCACCACTCAAAAATTTGCCTGAATACGAAACTAGTCAAGTACAAGTCAGATGTCCTGGCGGCACAACACGGTTGAATTGTCTTGAGTACACCATTCAGACATTGTGAGCTCCCTATATAAATAATTTAAGTCCTCTTTCTTGGAAACCCCGAAAGGATGCTACCTATGGCCAGTTTGGCACTCCCATGTTCGTTTCTTGGACACGAAAACATTCAGTCAATCAGAAATCAATTCAGAAAATCCCTATAATGTTGAAGCATTTTGTAATATCCAACACTTAATTTATGGGTTACAAGGGTGGAAAAAGGATATGCGTTCATTCCTGTTTCATCCTTTAGGCCACACATTTTTCATTTTTGGTTTCATGATCCCGCACCTACTGAAAAGCAGCAGGTCCAAGAAATAAATTTATAATAGAAATGTTTATACAAATTATGTCTCCCTTTCATACAATAAAAAGTGTGACATCACTATCAGTGATTAAAGAATCTACTTTCATAAGTAATAAATAAATAATTGACATAGCTACTTATTTTTATTTCAACCAACCTTGAGTGAAACGCTGATTTAAACCCATGAAACAAAATTTAAAAAGTGTGGCCTTTGTATTTGACGTTTCATGTTGAGTCTTCATTCTGATTTCCATGGGAACCCAACATTGATATGAGATGCCTGCATCAGATCCAGTTGACATATCTGCTTGTGATGTAGAAACAAGTTCACTCAAAGTTCCATCACACAGCTGTTTATTTACAAACCGGTATATGACAACAGTGCAACAAAGTGTACAACATGGAAACATAATGTTGGCAGATTACACCATAGTTAATACTGCAGTGGTGACAATCTCACATTTCTACATTTTCTCTTCTGTGGAAATAAGGTTTCAACTTAAAGCATTTTCAGGTTTTGATTCAAAAGGTGTATAGAAAAGTAAATCTTAATACATTACCACCTGAGGTTGAAGTGGAGCAGCTTATGTCCTGTATGAGATGCAGGGACAGACTAAACAGCATACAGTGTATATATATATATATATATTGCACAAACAGGGGGTCTTAGATCTTTCACAAAATAGTTTTGATTATAACAACACCAAAATGCCAACTTCTGTGTACCATAACACGTGACGTGTAGCCCTGCACTGTGACAGGACCATCATGGCTCAGTGCTACTCAACAGGGAAGACGTCATTGGTTAGTTTCTGGTAGTGGTAAAAATATTAAGCTCCTTGAAAACATCTTCTTGCCATGGCAGTGTTCATGTTCTGACTTGCACTGCAAGGTTGGTGTTTATTTTGTAAAATAATACTGGAAATATTTTTCACTGTTACACAAAGTGCTGACCATGGTTTTCTGATGACCAGCGCTAATTACGATCAGATCACCATTGTATTGTGCATGACCACACAGGTGAAGCAGCACGCCATACTTCTATACAAGCTGACCAGCTGCCTAGCTGAATACAGGGCACACAAAATCAACAATAACAACACTAAATGTGACACTAAATCTCATAGGATAATACTGTCGAGTAACAAAGTATAATACAAATATATAAAAGTTAAAAACAATTCAGTGAAAACAGTCCTGCTCAATGTTAATTATTGTGAATATGAAATGGTAAAGTGAAACAATATAAGAAGTTGAGAAAAATACCAAATAGAAATACTGTGTGAAATGCATAAATTTTACAGTAATACATGTATATTTTTAAAGTGAGCTTGCATCCCCCAGTAGGTAGGATACTACAGGTAACAGAAGGTGTAGCAGTATCACCAGGGGCACATGGGGTTTCATGCGTTAGGTCTTCTACCACGATCCGGGGGATCTTGCTACAACATATTTATCTTCCCGACATGTAAGGCAGGTACTTCGGTACATGAGCCAATGTAGAACATGTACTTTGATTCTGTTTGCTTTAAGAATGTTTTTAAAAACACATGCATTCCTTCAACAACCATGAAAATATAAGTAAAAGATATCTAATATAAAAATGCAGTACAAATGTATCTTTATTTGAAAGTAAGCGCCATTGATTGTATCTTATTCTCATGACCGCAGTTATGTGACTTGCATTGTGGAACACAAGTTATCACAGACAGTTTTAACATGACACAACAAGAATATCCTCTAACAGCACCACAGGCCACAACATTACATATACATGAGATATGATCAAACAGTGACTTTCAATATTTACACAATAAGGCCACAGATCCGACTGCTCTCTGCACCACAACCAACAACCGCTGTGTTTAAACTGATGTCAGCTCAGTCTGACCCCTTGTTTTCAGATCATGATTTATATCATTTGTAAATGTGCAAATTTGATTGTTTCAGTAATAATCGCAATAACAAATGAGTGTAGGATTCAAGTATCACAAGTAGGGGGTTTGTTGTATTCCAAACAATCCCAGGTCAGGCTTGGCCCAGGGTGAGTGGCGGCAGAACCCCTATCGTCTATACTATTATTGCATGTATCAAAATAAATGTCAAGATATTGTGAATATTGAGGTTACGTTTTATGTGAAATTAACATTTTTGTTTACCTGAAAAGAAAATAACATTTAATGTTTCTATATTCTGTAATATGCTGCTTTAAACCATCCTCTGCATATATCCATGAACTGTAGTGTACGTCCCCTCCAACAATTGCAGAAAGGGTTAAACCATTGTTGTGGCCCTTTGAGTTGTGTATTGTGCCTGAGAGGACTTCCCAGGGGCCTCGGGGGGGACAATGAAGACACGGTCTTCCAGACGAACATCCTTGCCTCGTATTCTCTCCCTGGAATTTAAGATGATGGCTCATGATGCAGTCTGTCTTTTCAACTTCTTTCCGATACTGGAAATTACCTGAGAGGGTTCTTTGGAAATTTTATAAAACTACAATTGATCACCAATGGTGACTAATGTGGTTCAAACCAGCTACTATAAGTTCTCTTTGGATGGTTGATACTAGCTATAGAATGAGGATATTTGTAAACATTAGATCCATTGTTGGTCACAGATCAGTGGTGTGTTTCATATCTAGAACACTCAATGTAATGAATAGTGCTAACAGACCCAATCCCTTAACCATACTGACCCCAACATAGTAAATGGTGTCTGACTGGCCAAGAAGGTAAAGATCATCCAAAGGCTAATAGAGTAAAGATCATCCAGGGCTAATAGAGTAAAGATTATCCAAGGGCTAATAGAGTAAAGATCATCCAAAGGCTAATAGAGTAAAGATCATCCAAAGGCTAATAGAGTAAAGATCATCCAAAGGCTAATAGAGTAAAGATCATCCAAGGGCTAATAGAGTAAAGATCATCCAAGGGCTAATAGAGTAAAGATTATCCAAGGGGTAAAAGTGTAAAGATCATCCAAGGGGTAACAGAGTAAAGATCATCCAAGGGCTAATAGAGTAAAGATCATCCAAGGGCTAATAGAGTAAAGATCATCCAAGGGCTAATAGAGTAAAGATTATTCAAGGGCTAATAGAGTAAAGATCATCCAAGGGCTAATAGAGTAAAGATCATCCAAGGGCTAATAGAGTAAAGATCATCCAAGGGGTAACAGAGTAAAGATCATCCAAGGGCTAATAGAGTAAAGATCATCCAAGGGCTAATAGAGTAAAGATCATCCAAGGGCTAATAGAGTAAAGATTATCCAAAGGCTAAGAGTAAAGATCATCCAAAGGCTAACAGAGTAAAGATCATCCAAGGGCTAATAGAGTAAAGATCATCCAAGGGCTAATAGAGTAAAGATCATCCAAGGGCTAATAGAGTAAAGATCATCCAAGGGCTAATAGAGTAAAGATCATCCAAGGGCTAATAGAGTAAAGATCATCCAAGGGCTGATAGAGTAAAGATCATCCAAGGGCTAATAGAGTAAAGAACTTCCAAGGGCTAATAGAGTAAAGAATCTACAGGGCTACAGGACAGTAAAAATTTCCAAAGATAGTAGAGCATCCAAGGACCAAGATAAAAAAGAGTGTCTAATGACTCAGGTAGAAAAGAGGTCTAAGGGTGACCAAGGGCAAAGATAGTATGGAGTGTCCAAGGGCTAAGATAGTGAAAGGTGTTCAAGGGTTAAGTTTTGTTTTGTTTGTTGTTTAACGCAGCGCTCAGCAGTATTCCAGCTGTATGACGGCGCTCTATAAATAATTGAGTCAGGACCAGACAATCCAGTGATTGACATCACGAGCATTGATATAGACCATTGGAATACAATGCATGGGCCGCTGAAGACCTATTCTACCCCGGATCTTCACGGGTTAAGACAGTAATGGGTGTCCAAGGGCTAAGATAGTGAAAGGTGTTTAAGGGCTAAGATACTAAGGGCATCCAAGGGCTAAAATAGTTAAGCTTGGCCTCTACTGGGTAATACTTCTTAGTCCACTTCGTAATACTCCTTAGTCTACAGGGTAATACTCTTACTGGGTAACACTCCTTAGTCTACAGGGTAATACTTCTTAGTCCACTTCGTAATACTCCTTAGTCTACTGGGTAATACTCTTACTGCTGATACTCCTTAGTCTACAGGGTAATACTCTTACTGGGTAATACTCCTTAGTCTACTGGGTAATACTCCTTAGTCTACTGGGTATTACTCCTTAGTCTACTGGGTAATGCTCCTTAGTCTACAGGGTAATACTCTTACTGGGTAATACTCCTTAGTCTACAGGGTAATACTCTTACTGGGTAATACTCCTTAGTCTACAGGGTAATACTCCTTAGTCTACAGGGTAATACTTCTTAGTCGACTGGGTAATACTCCTTAGTCTACAGGGTAATACACCTTAGTCTACTGGGTAATACTCCTTAGTCTACTGGGTAATACTCTTACTAGGTAATACTCCTTAGTCTACAGGGTAATACTCTTACTGGGTAATACTCCTTAGTCTACAGGGTAATACTTCTTAGTCCACTTCATAATACTCCTTAGTCTACTGGGTAATACTCTTACTGCTGATACTCCTTAGTCTACAGGGTAATACTCCTTAGTCTACAGGGTAATACTTCTTAGTCTACTGGGTAATACTCCTTAGTCTACAGGGTAATACTCTTACTGGGTAATACTCCTTAGTCTACAGGGTAATACTCCTTAGTCTACTAGGTAATACTCCTTAGTCTACAGGGTAATACTCTTACTTGGTAATACTCCTTAGTCTATAGGGTAATACTCCTTAGTCTACAGGGTAATACTCTTACTGGGTAATACTCTTACTGGGTAATACTCCTTATTCTACAGGGTAATACTCCTTAGTCTACAGGGTAATACTTCTTAGTCCACTTCGTAATACTCCTTAGTCTACTGGGTAATACTCTTACTGCTGATGCTCCTTAGCCTACAGGGTAATACTCCTTAGTCTACAGGGTAATACTTCTTAGTCTACTGGGTACTACTCCTTAGTCTACAGGGTAATACTCCTTAGTCTACAGGGTAATACTCCTCAGTCTACTGGATAATACTCCTTAGTCTACTGGGTAATACTCCTTAGTCTACAGGGTAATACTTCTTAGTCTACTGGGTAATACTCCTTAGTCTACAGGGTAATACTCTTACTGGGTAATACTCCTTAGTCTACAGGGTAATACTCCTTAGTCTACTAGGTAATACTCCTTAGTCTACAGGGTAATACTCTTACTTGGTAATACTCCTTAGTCTATAGGGTAATACTCCTTAGTCTACAGGGTAATACTCTTACTGGGTAATACTCTTACTGGGTAATACTCCTTAGTCTACAGGGTAATACTCCTTAGTCTACAGGGTAATACTTCTTAGTCCACTTCGTAATACTCCTTAGTCTACTGGGTAATACTCTTACTGCTGATGCTCCTTAGCCTACAGGGTAATACTCCTTAGTCTACAGGGTAATACTTCTTAGTCTACTGGGTACTACTCCTTAGTCTACAGGGTAATACTCCTTAGTCTACAGGGTAATACTCCTCAGTCTACTGGATAATACTCCTTAGTCTACTGGGTAATACTCCTTAGTCTACAGGGTAATACTCTTACTGGGTAATACTCCTTAGTCTACAGGGTAATACTCCTTAGTCTACTAGGTAATACTCCTTAGTCTACAGGGTAATACTCTTACTGGGTAATACTCCTTAGTCTACAGGGTAATACTCTTACTTGGTAATACTCCTTAGTCTACAGGGTAATACTCTTACTGGGTAATACTCCTTAGTCTACAGGGTAATACTCTTACTTGGTAATACTCCTTAGTCTACAGGGTAATACTCTTACTGGGTAATACTCCTTAGTCTACAGGGTAATACTCCTTAGTCTACAGGGTAATACTTCTTAGTCTACTGGGTAATACTCCTTAGTCTACAGGGTAATACTCCTTAGTCTACAGGGTAATACTCCTTAGTCTACTGGGTAATACTCCTTAGTCTACTGGGTAATACTCTTACTGGGTAATACTCCTTAGTCTACAGGGTAATACTTCTTAGTCTACTAGGTAATACTCCTTAGTCTACAGGGTAATACTCTTACTGGGTAATACTCCTTAGTCTACAGGGTAATACTCCTTAGTCTACAGGGTAATACTTCTTAGTCTACTGGGTAATACTCTTACTTGGTAATACTCCTTAGTCTACAGGGTAATACTCCTTAGTCTACAGGGTAATACTCCTTAGTCTACTGAGTAATACTACTTAGTCTACAGGGTAATACTCTTACTGGGTAATACTCCTTAGTGTACAGGGTAATACTCCTTGGTCTACAGGGTAATACTCTTACTGGATAATACTCCTTAGTCTACAGGGTAATACTCCTTAGTCTACAGGGTAATACTCCTTAGTCTACTGGGTAATACTCCTTAGTCTACAGGGTAATACTCTTACTGGGTAATACTCCTTAGTCTACAGGGTAATACTCCTTAGTCTACAGGGTAATACTCTTACTGGGTAATACTCCTTAGTCTACAGGGTAATACTTCTTAGCCTACTGGGTAATACTCTTACTGGGTAATACTCCTTAGTCTACAGGGTAATACTCCTTAGTCTACAGGGTAATACTCCTTAGTCTACAGGGTAATACTCTTACTGGGTAATACTCCTTAGTGTACAGGGTAATACTCCTTGGTCTACAGGGTAATACTCTTACTGAATAATACTCCTTAGTCTACAGGGTAATACTCTTACTTGATAATACTCCTTAGTCTACAGGGTAATACTCCTTAGTCTACAGGGTACTACTCCTTAGTCTACAGGGTAATACTCTTCGTGAGTAATACTCCTTAGTCTACTGGGTTATTCTCCTTAGTCTACAGGGTAATACTCTTACTGGGTAATACTCCTTAGTCTACAGGGTAATAGTCCTTAGTCTACTAGGTAATACTCCTTAGTCTACAGGGTAATACTCCTTAGTCTACTGGGTAATACTCCTTAGTCTACAGGGTAATACTCCTACTGGGTAATACTCCTTATATAGAGTAACAACTCTCAGCTTTCTGATTCACTCACTTGAGGAACTTCTCCATGCCAGCCGACAGTTTTCCTGTACGAGACTTGAACATGCTGCTATGACCATTCCTTTGTTGAGCTTCCTCCCACTTCTGGATGTCATAACGTCCGGCCCCCACTGGGTTCTGCAAGCAGCACAACATATACAGGTCATTCCCAACAATCAGATGCAATTCCATATATCATATCGTGGGGAATTGGTGAAGGCCTATGAAATGAGTTCCGTTCAAGTTAAGGTTACCTGACAAGTATTTGACCCAATGTGCCCATGTGTAAAGGCTCTACTCCCTGCACATACAAGTCCACCACTTATCTTGTAGATCTGAATGTTTGTATGGTTTGAATGGACTCTAGTCCACAGCAAGTACACCATCACTTATCTAGTGTAAATGGTGGGGGTGAAATATCTCTGGCATTTGTTTTTTTCAGTCATCCTTTGTCATTTGAATACACACCGATCCAGAGAAATACTGATCTCTTATAAAATGACAATAGATACAAGATGACTGTTTCAGCACACATTCACTCACTATGTTCACTACAAGGACACCATGGCTGGAATATTGCTGAGTGCAGTGTTAAACAACAAACAAACAAACAAACAAGAAGACCAGCTATCCAGACTTCAGGTTCAGAACAAAAAACATTTGTAAACCAGGTTATTCCTCTAAATATGAAATGAAGACAAGATTTTGAAGCAAAGTACAATAAACCAAACCTTTATTTGTCTACATACGGTGCTTCAGATTGCCAGGCACATGGGTCTTTGACCTCTGAAAAGATCATTGATCTTCCATGTCTGTACAATATGGGTCCTCAGTTTTTCACTTCTGGTACCTAACTATCGCTGTCACAGGTAACAGAGTCACAAGAGATGCAGATCGTGGACGTTTCAACTTACAAAATTCCTGGTAAAGAACCTCTGAGACACCCGGTCATTCCTCTGAGCAGACGACAGGAAGCCTGGTGAGTTGGTGGAGGCGGCCTTCACTACAGGCTTTGGGTCATAGTTACCTGGGCCAGGAGTGTTCTGAAACATTGTCACACATCAGTAATTGTACAAGTGACCAATTCCAGGTCAAGGTCAACTGAATGTCTTGAACGTGCATAAAGAGAAAATGAAGTAAACCATCAACAATAATTTCAGTGTGAGGGCAGCATGGAATCTAGAAAAATGACTCTTTGTTTAGACTCAAACATAAACATAAATAACTGCCACTGTCAGTTTCAGACATATCCGCTAGTAGTTTACCCGTGACCCTTTATATGTTGTATTATCTTGTTTACGAATATTGGGACCCAACTTTTCACAAATGTAGAATCAAATGATAACATTGATAATTTGATTTCCTTATAACCATCTTTCCGAGGCAAGGGAGTTAACTGTTTCCACCCTTGCCGAACTAGGCTGGAATTACAGAGTTATAATTTGGCTGGACTAACAAGTCTTTGCATAGTCCAATCATATTCCCATAATGAAATCAACACCAGGTTCATAAACAACATGGCAACTGCCATCCTGAATTAGTTAGATCGCAGGATTTGCAGAGCATGTGTACCATCAACTGGGCATCTACAGATATTTTCCAAATCCTTTCATGTTTTTAATCAAGGTGCTCACATGTTTTGATGCATGTCACGAGTTAAAACCTGTTTTATTAAAATAAAGATCTTTATAATCGATGAGATTGTCTTGACTTGGCGACTTGATTTTGTTCATCAAATCCGAGTGATATGAGAGGTGGAATCTCAATGGTCAGTAGTAGGGACATAGAAGGGACATAACTCGTAACAGCACCTGGTGGCACAATGATCAAGCCCAGAAATTCCAGCCTAGTTCAGCAAGAGTGGAAACTGGACATGTAAAGTCAGTTAACTCTCTTACCTTTGGAAGATGCCTGGTAACATACAAGTTTCAGTAATGAAAAGAAATTCAAAGTAAGTAATTGTGGAAATGGAAGAAAGTCTTTGAATTTCAGTGGCTTTTATTACTTCACCTAAGCAACAATACTATCAATAATCAATTAAAACATTTTCAAAACACCCTTTCAACTATAGACCACACATTTTTTTAAAGAAATCCTTGAAACAAGTAAGAAAAATACAAGATGTTTTGCAGCACAGATCCCAATCCTAACTTCGATCTGACAGTTGTGTACCTTTTGTTTCTGACACTGGGAGAGTGTACTACAGAAGATCCTCTCTGTCGGGGGATCAGGGTACTGAGACACTTTACCAAACCTGCCCTGTCGCTTGCGATGGATTGTGTCCCAGTCGTACAGGAAGGACTTGAGGTCATACTGACCGGGGCCAAGGTCAGCTAGTTTCTACAAAGAGCAGAATAATCATCTGTATTTAAACGTCCTGATCCAATAGGTTCCCCTTGGTCATTTTCACAAACAATCTTTAAATAATCTTTACACACCCCACTAACAGAATTAGTCTTTAGCAACCCAGGCTTGTCATAAGAGGTGACTAACAGGATCGGGTGGTCAGGCTTGCTGACTTGGTTGATGCATGTCATCATATTCCAATGGTCTATATTAATGCTCATGATGTCAATCACAGGATTGTCTGGTCCAGACTTGATTATTTACAGACCGCCGTCACATAGCTTTTATATTGCTGACTGCGGCATTAAACAACAACCAAACAAACTAACATAGCAGAGTCTGCATTTGCTTCTGTATTTTACAGATTTCTTACAGAAAACAGCCAAACAGGGTAGATGAACTATAATCAAAAACATTTTAGTTTCAACAACATTTGAACAAAGTTTGTTCATTACCACTTAATCTCTGAAAACAAATTGAACTAGTGTATGGTGTTAAAGAACAACCCTTTTTTCTTTATTACGGCAAATACAGTATATCAATTTCAGAAAGTGGTATACAATAAGCCACATATCTACTACTCTTGAACATAAAGAGTGAGTGAGTTTTAACATAAGTTCATTTACAGCCGGTCAGCTCAATGTGGGGGAAAATCCCACAGTGACACTAGCTGTTGACATTTGTGGGTATTGCACTGACCAACAGAGGATGAAAATCTGGGCTTCAAATCCAGTGAATCCTGGCACAGCCAAAGGATTTGCACTGCATACCAAATGACCATCTGTGTCTTAACATGAAGTACAATATGTCTGATGTCAACAACACACTGTGCAGTTGGATGTAACATGCAGATGTGCTGCTTCTATCATTCTTATACAATTCCCATAGGATTTGTCAGATAAATGTCTTATAGATATGATGAGCATCGGTATTTCCACATTAGAGAACTGAATACTCATCCATTAGTGTACGGGTGTTTCTTACTAACCGGTGCTGCCAGGTACCCCACTGTGATGGGCTTGTTACGATCCCCGGAGAAGAGGTCATAAGGTCCTCGGACGCTGGTCACCTTGTTGCCCATCTGTTCTGTGAAGCTCTTGAAGTTGTAGGTGCCTGGTCCCAGCACTGACCCCTATAGTCAAACATACACCACCAGATGTAGCAACACACACACCTGGTCCCAGCACTGACCTCTACAGTCAAACATACACCACTTGATGTAGCAACACACACACTTGGTCCCAGCACTGACCCCTTCAGTCAAACATACACCACTTGATGTAGCAACACACACACCTGTTCCCAGCACTGACCTCTACAGTCAAACATACACCACTTGATGTAGCAACACACACACCTGGTCCCAGCACTGACCTCTACAGTCAAACATACACCACTTGATGTAGCAACACACACACCTGGTCCCAGCACTGACCTCTACAGTCAAACATACACCACCAGATGTAGCAACACACACACCTGGTCCCAGCACTGACCTCTACAGTCAAACATACACCACTTGATGTAGCAACACACACACCTGGTCCCAGCACTGACCTCTACAGTCAAACATACACCACCAGATGTAGCAACACACACACCTGGTCCCAGCACTGACCTCTACAGTCAAACATACACCACTTGATGTAGCAACACACACACCTGGTCCCAGCACTGACCCCTTCAGTCAAACATACACCACTTGATGTAGCAACACACACACCTGGTCCCAGCACTGACCTCTACAGTCAAACATACACCACTTGATGTAGCAACACACACACCTGGTCCCAGCACTGACCTCTACAGTCAAACATACACCACTTGATGTAGCAACACACACACCTGGTCCCAGCACTGAACCTCTACAGTCAAACATACACCACCAGATGTAGCAACATACACAAACCTGGTCCCAGTACTGACCCTGATAGTCAAACATACACCACCAGATATAGCAACACACACCCACACCTTGTCCCAGCACTAACCTCTATAGTCAAACATACACCACCAGATGAAGCAACACACACACACACACCTGGTCCCAGCACTGACACCTTCAGTCAAACATACACCGCTTGATGTAGCAACACACACATCTGGTCCAAGCACTGACCTCTACAGTCAAACATACACCACTTGATGTAGCAACACACACACCTGGTCCAAGCACTGACCCCTTCAGTCAAACATACACCACTTGATGTAGCAACACACACACCTGGTCCCAGCACTGACCTCTACAGTCAAACATACACCGCTTGATGTAGCAACACACACACCTGGTCCCAGCACTGACCTCTACAGTCAAACATACACCACTTGATGTAGCAACACACACACCTGGTCCAAGCACTGACCTCTACAGTCAAACATACACCACCAGATGTAGCAACACACACATCTGGTCCAAGCACTGACCCCTACAGTCAAACATACACCACCAGATGTAGCAACATACACACACACTTGATCCCAGCACTGACCCCTACAGTAAAACATACACCGCTTGATGTAGCAACACACACACACCTGGTCCCAGCACTGACCTCTGCAGTCAAACATACACCACTTAATGTCACCCAAACACACCTCAAATATAAGACAGCTTTAGTAAATAATTAACACCTTATTTAACATTACATTAAAAGATTGCATGTATTATCGTTGTTGTATTGACAGCTAGGGTTTCAGACAGGTTGATACTCTCGGACACTGACTGATTCTTATCCAGAATGTCATGAAGAGTCTTTTCCAAATTTGTTCGAATATAGAAGAATATTCCATCAAAAACTGACACAATCATGAAAATGTATAATTGCCATTTGTCTCAAAAACTAACTGTATGATTATGACACAATCATTTCAAGGAGAAAAGGAAGGGTATATTTTGTAAGAATTGTTAAATCAGATTAATTGAATAAATCATGCATATCATTCAATAACTACTTTAGTCTACCCAAATAAGAGAAATTATGTTACAAAGTTGATAATAATAAATTGACAAATGCCCTAAACACTGAGTGTCTCTATCCATGCTCATTCATTAGCCCTTACTGTCAGGGTGTGTCACTGTCACATGCCTAGAGAAAGTAAATAACCTACAAACAAATACAAAAAAAAACACATTATAAATATAAAAACAATATATAAGAGCTAGGTAATACAAATCAGTAGGGCAGTTCCTGCACCTGTTTTAGTCACCTCAGCCATAAGGCATCAGTCCCACAGACCTTGTGTTGTAGAAGAAGAATTTCAGAAAATAAAAGATGGCCATCTGCCAGCAACTTTAACTTTCCAATTTTGATGTCTTGAACAAAACCTAAATTTCCCTTAATGTTAGAAACCCACGCATAAAGATCACTTCCAGCCTTTCTTCATATCTGGTAGTCTTGACAGTTAACAGCTGAGTGACCGATAACTTAAGACTTCTTGGCCGTAAGGTATGAAGACATCGCTAGTCCTGTTTCACTCCCTACACTACTTTACATTGTGCAAACTAGGATTGCAATTCACAGCCAATAAAAGATTACATGTATGACAGGATGCCTGCAATAATTGCAGCAACACAAATACCTTTCTCCGGGATATCTACAAGAGTCAACAATTAGAAAAGCATTCATTTTGAAATTATCTTGACAATGTTATATTATTATTTCAAATGATGTCACTTTATGAGATAACAAAAATATATCATTGAATTTATTGAAAGGAATCCTTACTTGTTGATACACCACTAGTGAGAACAATCTGACTTTGAAGTTAACATCTCGTCTCACGCCATCTGTTAGCAATCAGTAGTTGAAAGAAGTGTTTCCTGCAGTTTGGGGATTGCAAAATAAGTTATATCCCTTCCGCTAAATGTTTCTGATCAGCTACTTTCATGAGGTTCATGCAGTACATGTTGCAGGAAGAAACAGAATACCCTCAACACGTGAGGTACTGGCACAAATACCTGTCTCCGTGATAGCTACAAGATGCAATAGTCGTTGAATCAATCATATAAGAACATTTACAGTTGTGTACATACACAATCTTAAAGTTAATTTGCATTGAATATTTGGATCACAAGTAATACTTCCTATTCTACTGCACTGTGTTAAATACATGGTGATAAATGGGTTTACTGTGAAATATGGGATGATGTACAGAAGCCATTGTCTGATCACTGATCTTAATTATATCTACACTAATAAAGACACCTCAAATGTATTACCGCTACATTTTTTTCATTCACATTATTTTCGAGAGTAAACATTGGATTGGTTATATTCTGTTTTATTGAAAATTGGCTGCAGTTATTCAAGCCACTCCGCAGGTTATAACATGATGGACAGTGATGAATTGCAGTCTTAGTTGATGAATGTGAAGTAATGAGAATAAGCTAGGTTAGCAGGGTAGGGAGAAAGAAGTTTCAATAAATTCATTACGCCCTGACTGAGATGTACAGTAAGTCTATACAGCAGACTTACAACTGTCGGGAGGTTGCGCGGCTTTGACGAGCCAGCATCCAGCATCCCTTTAGTACTGGTTGACCTTTTATCCTTCTCTTCTATAGCTGCGTGTGGTATCCCTCCATTACCATACGTTCCAGGGCCGGGAATGTCACTCTGTGCAACAACAATCTCACAATAAATATATATTCACAATATACGTGTAAAGTTGAATTTGGTGTTTATAAATTTTTAATGGTCCTCACCTGCCTCAGATACCACATGAAATAAATTGTATTCATATTGTTAATGAAAAAAAAGGGGGATCGCCAAGAGATGATTAGGAACAGTTCATATAGTGGTCACATTCAGTGGTACCTGCATGGTGTTATTCCTGGTTGAATGTAACCGAATTAGGGCTAGGATGAGTCCAAAATTACCAAGTCCCGAATACTCAACCCTACCTGGGTACCTGCTGTAGGTCTCAAGAGATGAGTACAAAATGTCTGATTGAGAATGGTTTGAACAGAGCTCTGGCAAAAAGTATTTAGATACACACATATGAAACGATATGGTCACGTATACCTGTACACAGAAGTTGACTGAAGCTGTACCTCTATTCAAACATCAGAAGGAATGCGTTCATTGTCAGAAGGAAATGCCAACATAAGTGATTTGTAGTGTAACCATGGAGTTCTAGATAATGTTTGTCATTGAACAATATATCATGCGACTAATCACAGGTCCAGGTAGTCATGTGGATACTTACTCAGTACCCACGTGACGCAAGAAACCCAGTTACCTCTCCCAGCCCTAAACCAAATACAATGTATTCACGGATAATAATATTCGCCCATGCATCGCCATGTGTAATGTAAGATAAGAATGGGAAATTGTTGCTTTGTAATGGCAGTTATTATGGCTAGACAAAACATGATAGTAGTAGTGCACAAATGGCAATCAATATGCCTGACTCAGTAATGGAGACCTGTGAAGATCCGCAGTAGAATAGGTCTTCAGCAACCCATGCTTGCCATAAACGGTGACTATGCTTGTTGTAAGAGGCGACTAACGGGATCGGGTGGTCAGGCTCAATGACTTGGTTGATGCATTGTATCCCAATTGTGTGGATCGATGCTCATGATGTCAATCACTGGATTGTCTGGTCCAGACTCGATTATTTACAGACTGCCGTCATATAGCTGGAATATTGCTGAGTGCGGCGTTAAACATCAAACAAACAAGTAAAGAAACTCAGTATAACAGGTTGATCTCAAGAAACAAATTGGTGTGGTTTCAATGTTGCAGACTCTGCATGGGCAAGCCAGCGGGGTGAAAATGTGGCATGATGAAAAAAGCAACAGACTATGAAGATTGTGATATAAGATTCATTGTGTTAGGGATAGGTTCAAGCAAACACACTTTCTATAGATCACTCATTACCTGTGGTTATGTCTTATAAGCCACAGAAGCCATAAGCACAAGTCATTAAGTGATCAAACTGTGCGCTATCTGATGAAAGCTGCATGACTGAAATGTGGCACAGTGACTGGCATCAATATAACTGGTAATCACAAATGTTGTGATGTCAAATCATTTCGTAAGATGAATCAAAATTCCTTCTCAAATGTACAGATGATGGGAGAAGTGTATGGAGACATACAGACAATCGCTACCAGCAGTATAGTACAGCACAACTACTATGGTGGTGGTTCAGTGACAGCATGGACCAACCCCACCTTCAGCTACAGAGCAGACCTCATCCATCTTGAAGGTCGAATCATCGGTTTTGGCTATTGTGATTAGTCTATCAAAGCAATGAACAGAGTTGCCATCTGCCTAATGTTTTGTTCTGTTTTGTTGTTTAACGCTGCACTCAGCAATATTCCAGCTATATGACGGCAGTCCTTTAATAATTGAGTTTGGACCAGACAATCCAGTGATTGACATCATGAGCATTGATCCACTCAAATGGTATACGATGACATGCATCAACCAAGTCATTGAATCTGACCACCCAATCCTGTTATTCACCTCTTACGACGAGCATAGTCCCCTGATACAGCAAGCATACTTTCACGGGTCTGCTTTATCGTAAAAGTGGTAGTCCACAAGGAAATGTCACTCGTCCTCCCTGAATTTCAATAATCTTGGTCTTACAGACATTGTTCAATCCCTGGTTCTCTGGGTGAGCTAGAATAAATACAATTACAAATGTGCCAAGAGACGAAGTGCAATCTCTTCCCATTTCTTACTATTGTTACCAGAAACCAATAAAGAAAAAACAGCTTATGTGTAAATCTACTTACCACAGCTCCATCCTTGAACCTAGGTGCCTTGGTTTCACAGATTCCGCGACTGCTCCTGGGCTTCTCGTCGGAACTCTGCAGGAAGTCCTTGATCTCATACGACCCAGGGCCTAGCTTCCTTTGCTGAAATAAACCAGTGATATACAACATAAGGGACATAAGGGACATCTGGGTGCGAGTCAGATACATGCTCACCTTAAATGTCACCTTATTAACTTGAATTCTCATTAAAAAAAATTCATATCATATGCACATCTTTTTATTGGGAGCATCTGAGAAATACCTACACAAATCAATTGACCATAACACTTTTACACATGAAATCATACTAATGGTAGGACTGAGTTATTGCTGCAACCAGTAACAGGACTGCATCTATCATGAATGAGAAGTAAGTCCATTGAAAAAAGTAATTCAGACTTTTATCTGCCATGTGTACTTCTTACATGGCTAAAAACATGATACATTTTTTTTTTTAAATCAACATTCTCAAAGATCTCATTGGTTTTGGAAATATCTTTTTTATCCATAGCACCTAAGGGACCGACCATTTGATATCCTGGAGGGGGCCTGGGATTTTGCATTGAGACCAGATCATTTTTCAGCTACAGCTGGGGCGGTCGGTTAGCCTAGTGGTTAAAGCGTTCGCTCGTCACGCCGAAGACCCGGGTTCGATTCCCGACATGGGTACAATGTGTGAAGCCCATTTCTGGTGTCCCCCGCCGTGGAATATTGCTAAAAGCGGCGTAAAACCATACTCACTCACTCAGCTACAGCTGCATAGCCAGATATTTTGTTGATTAAAACTGAGCATAGATATTTTCTTTTAAAAAACCCCATTGCAACAATGTAATTTTTGTGGCAATAAATTTCTTTTATTTTTTCTAACAATATGAAGCATAATGATTAGTTTCAAGAATTTTCAGGGACAACTTATATTTTTCGATAAAATCCCAGCCCCCACCACACCCCATCCACCCCTTTAACATCAAATGGTCGGCCCATTAGGGTTGGGAAATCTTGATCACTGCGAGCCTCTGTCTCTGATACGTGAACCAACATGGTGATTTGACTGGTACTCAGTATTCATTCATAAAGCCCAGATGCCCGAACAGACTGTATAAGGGCATGAAATGTGGTGACAGCCACACCAGCACGTAACGGTTAAGACATCAATCAACACTATCAGGGTGATGTCAAGTCAAACCATTCCAGGTGTTTTTTGTAAGTGTTGCCTTGATTAAATCTTATCAATGTCCAGTTGGCAAACCTCCAGGACCAAATATAAATTGATCACAATTTTTTAAGATTAATTGTGTCTGGACAGTGAACTATACAAACTACATAAGGCTTCTCTACACCATCACAGTATTTAATATCATTCTAGTTGAAGTACAGAATAGATGATTATTTGATCATATAACTTTTGTCTTATACTAGTGATCAATGACATGTGAAGCAATTTTTGCATCAAAGTTATGTTATGTGTTCCTGGTACCACTCACCAACATCCTCTTCTGCTCCCACTGTTCTTTGTGCAGGAGATGAGGCAGGGCTGCCATCTTCTCCACCTCATACGCCCGCGCCCAGCCAGGACCCCTGGTCTTCTCCTCCACAGACTTGGTGCTGAACCCGCCCAGTTCAACATCATAGCTGCCAGGACCTAGCCGGCGCTTCTGAACGGAGAGAATCCAGTCCAGGTTTAGACAATTTCATATTCAGGATGCTTACTGTCAATCTACATTACTATGGCTTAACAACTGTGATCCATGAAAATTTGAACATTGTCATTTATATTTATAAAAATCGCAAGCTATGATCAAAAGATTATGAAATGTGAAACAAAAACATGTCAAGCATAATTTTTTGATCTTATGAAAAGAAAATACTATATGAATCAAGCTACTCCGAAAAAGGCGCACCTCAATATGTCCGCCACTAAAAGCCCAAACCTGCCACGTCTGGTTAAATTGCTTACATATCACTGAGTAGTCCAGATATACTCCAGCGGCTGGAGTCCAGCCTTATAAAACTACTGTAAGATAAACACACTTCTCCAACCTTCCTTGTCAACTACAACACATGCATCTACAGTAAGAAAATCACTGACTGACACTGAGTTAACTTTTCATCATGTCACTACTTACACTTAGAAATAACATGTGTCATCAACAAGGTGTCTCAAACTTTCCAGAAGCAGAAAAGGCTATTGTTAGGCACTCGCAAAAATTTCATGACGCAAAACTTTTCAGATTTACAATAATCTGCATGTGAACCACTCACCAGATCCTGTGTAAACTTCTTGTCGTATGGTATCTCGGTGAAGGTACCCGGGGTCTTACTCTTCGGGTGCACACCAGACACATCAAACCTGAATAGCAGCAGATGCTGAGCACTGTCAATACTGAATTCACCCTATCAAGTGCGTTAAATAGCAGCAGATACTGAGCACTGTCAATACTGTATTCACCCTATCAAGTGCGCTGAATAGCAGCAGATACTGAGCACTGTCAATACTGTATTCACCCTATCAAGTGCCCTGAATAGCAGCAGATACTGAGCACTGTCAATACTGTATTCACCCTTTCAAGTGCGCTGAATAGCAGCAGATGCTGAGCACTGTCAATACTGTATTCACCCGATCAAGTGTGCTGAATAGCAGCAGATACTGAGCACTGTCAATACTGTATTCACCCTATCAAGTACGCTGAATAGCAGCAGATACTGAGCACTGTCAATACTGTATTCACCCTATCAAGTGCGCTGAATAGCAGCAGATCCTGAGCACTGTCAATACTGTATTCACCCTATCAAGTGCCCTGAATAGCAGCAGATACTGAGCACTGTCAATACTGTATTCACCCTTTCAAGTGCGCTGAATAGCAGCAGATGCTGAGCACTGTCAATACTGTATTCACCCTATCAAGTGCCCTGAATAGCAGCAGATACTGAGCACTGTCAATACTGTATTCACCCTTTCAAGTGCGCTGAATAGCAGCAGATGCTGAGCACTGTCAATACTGTATTCACCCTATCAAGTGCGCTGAATAGCAGCAGATGCTGAGCACTGTCAATTCTGTATTCACTCCTGCTCCAAAAAGTGAACATTGCGATATCAGACTGTCAAAACTCAATTCATTATAAAATAAAGTTTTTAGACAACAGTTGCATAGTCTATTCTTGTATTTCGCATATATTCATGAGTGAGTAAGTGAGTTGTGTTTAACGCTGCTTTTAATAGTATTCCAGTTATATCACCGCATGTCAGCTTAATTAATGTGGGAGGAAAGCCCGAAGTGATGCAGGTCTTAGACGTTTACCACTTCGGTGAAACCCACGAGCACGGGTATGGTGCTGACAAACCTAGAAATGTAATCAGGGCGAACTGGGATTCGAACCCACAATCATAGGGATGCAACTCTGCACATCGAAACGCGGCACCTTAGACGAATAGACCACCTGTGCCCCCCACATATATTCATAGAAATATACCATAGAAATGCAATGTCTGTTACTAAACTTTTAAGATGCCTAACATTCAACTGTAGCCACTAATCTTGTTTTAGAATATTTTTTTATTTAGACTATTTTTGTCTTAAAACAAATTTACTTTCTTGTTTATTTGAATTTTCTTGGTTTGTCAATATGCAAGGAGGTCAAAATATAAAAATCACCTATTTCTTAGGGTTGATTTGAGGTAAAATCCCTAAAAGAAAACCCAATACAATACCATATTTAATTTTTTTAAATTCAACAAAACACATCTTTATTTATTATTTTTTTATTTCTGCACAAATTAGGGTTGGCAGGTCCCTAAAATAAGAAAATAAATTGGTTGTCTCTTCAGCAGAAATAAAATGCTAAAATATCTGTGTGTCTAACCAATGAAAACCCAGCATGTTCATCTTTAACATTGACCATATTCCTGAAGCAGAAGTAATTATTCATGCACAACACAACATGAACATGTGTAAAGGACCAAATAATGACACTGTCCCCGGGTCTGTACACATAGAATGAACAATTACTTTTACTCCTTCTTTATCAATGCCAGACTGAACAAAGTTAATCTTACAGCCATGTCCCATACAGACCACAAGGTCCATGTCATTGAATGTCAAATAATAAGCTAGGCAACCATAAACACATAAGGAGGTTCTTCAAGTTGGTCTGGCTTGTCTATACACACTTTATGATGTTTTATTTAGGACCATTGCCAGCAGATAACCAGTTGTAAAGCACTCATTATATAGTGTGTGTGAAGTAGATAGTCAATAAGATATCACCGGTCACTGACTTCAACACACCTTAAGTTAAACACTTATCAGTAGCTCAAATAACTAACATTACTTTTTGTGATAAAGAAATATCTTTACAATAATAATTTCCTTAATATTTTAACCTTATTATCGAGGTGTGATTTGGTTTACTAAATATGATTAAGTTAATTTTTCTATTTAATTTTATTTGCAGTCTGCAAGATATTGCCCAATTTTGAAAGGCTTATTCAATATGATTCTTTAAGCCACGGTTTAGGCCTATATCGTTTAAAACCTCATTGACGTTTACATCATTTCATTGATTCTCCGACCTTGACGCTAGATAACATTATCATTATCATTTCTTATGCATTAACTTTTGAAAGAGCACAATATCATTAAGGGAATATCGGTAACAGGTCGTTTCAGTACAATAATGGTGTTTACCCGTTGTTGACACCGTGTCAATATGACAAACATTATTGACAATATTATTCTGCCGACAAATATACGAGGCTCACCTTGCTGTTTGTGTTCCAAATGGTGCCCCTGAGAATTTCTTCTCAGCCATTATGTCCTCTTTCAAACTGGTGTAAAGCAAAAAATCGGCCTGTAAAGCCCTTTCTTTCTCAGTTGGAATTATCGCATGTCGTGTGTGCGGTGCATAACAATTACATTCAACGATCTAATTCATACACTGTCGCGAAGGGTTGTCTGCTAGCACCGTCACATGGCAACATGACGCCTACACTAGGACCAAAAACTTACATGAGTTACTGTTAATATGTTTTCATGTTTCTCAATTACCGTCTATCCTTGTGATAAAAATTATATTCGAAAGCATTTGACATACATGTATATGCATTTTGCTGAACAAATATCGTCAATTACAAACCTAATCTAATTGCGTTATGAGTTAGAGACTAAACAGGGGAGGTAAGTCTAATACACGAGGCATTAGAGGCCCAGAAAAGGATTTGTGAATACAGACTTGTTCAGGTCCATCGATCATCGTCCCCATCACAGTTATCCATCCAACAGTTTGTCGGCCATTTGCAACGTCAACCTGATAGAATAATATATACTTAATAAACAATTAAAATTTTGCTCCCAAAGGAAAGAACATAAACCGAATTCACTTTTCTGAAGATAGATATCGTTACACATTACTGAAAAGTGTTTTAATTTATCCTTTGTGATGCCCGTGCTTCTTATACATCGCGACACAACATTAATCGGGTTGTCAGTGCCGGTGACTAGGTTGATTATGTGTCATTGTATCCCGAAGTTGTGGGACGTCGCTCACAATATCAATCACTGTCTGGTCAAACTTCATTTACAGCCAGCCGTCATGCAGCTGCAATATTGCCGAGTGCGCTGTGTTAACAACAAATAAACAATCACCCCAATGCAAATACGCACAAGGTAGAGAGTTTGGTTTAACGCCGCTTTTAACAATATTCCAGTTCAGTATCGCGGCGTGTCAGCACACACACACACACACACACACACACACACACACACACACACACACACACACACACTAAATATGTTGGTTTCAGTTGCTGTAACAAAGTCTCAAATTAACTTGATTGTAATTTACTAAGCTTTGTTTTGTTAACTACCAGTATTTTTATTTCAAAATGTTGAATACACTCCTACAATACTCGCTTCTCCTTCTACAATAAAAGCAATTGTTTTTCATTGGTTAGGGCACGTGTGCCACAGATCACAGACATCTCATGTTAAAACGTTATTTCATTATTGGGTATATTTTTGTCTACTTTGCGGTTTATTTCAATACAACTTTATCAACACACACACACACACACACACACACACACACACACACACACACACACACACACACAGAGGCCAAAATCTGGGCCGTTTTGGCCACGCCGGAAATTGGCATAGACGACTCTTTCTAAGTCCTGCAAACGGATTAACGTAGTTACCATTGCCGTAACTAAATTTTAACGTCCAATTCTGTTTTCAACAGAAAAGCGATCGCTTGTGCTTCAATGCTCCACGTTTTGCTTACTTACAAGTACAATGTATCTCTAACCACAAGATGAACAAAAGGCTTCAAATTTAAGATATTTAAGATGACAATGATTCCTCTTATATGTAACAAAAACTTGAGTTAATGATTTAATTGTGAAAATTGTCGTAAATCTAGTAAGGCAGCAGTATCGGGACTGAAAATTGCGACTGCCACTTGCAATTATTCTAATTCAAAATGTTAGAATTTGAATATGTTCTGTTAACGGTCACGTTGAAATACACCCAGTGACAGGGTAACCGTTTCGCCGACGTATTCCATATAGATAAAAAAAACCCACTCAGGATGAGGACTGTGTTGGCATTTTACCTGCACTCCCAAACATCTTCAGTGTAGAATAGCTTTTTTTATTTTTATTTTTTTAAGTCTGTCCATTCCCTTCTAGATTGTGTGGTTTGTTCTCTTTGCAAACTTAATGTAGTTTTGTTTCATTTGCCTTCTCTCTATGTGTAGCCTTCCCATGCCGTGTCCCATACCCGTTCTCCCGACCTCCTGACTATGTTCACTCAGTACTTGGTCCGCCCTTAACGTCTCTACTCAGTCAGTGCGTAATCGTTTCCGCGAGGCTTGTCACCGGTCACGGAAGGCATGCACGTGCATCCCACTGACCCGACATCAGAGGCACGCACATTTAGATTGGGCCGCAGATCACGTCAATTGGACAGACCAGGAGTCGGCTCCAGTACTTTTTACTGATGAATCGAGAAACTGTCAACACTTCTTAGGTCGTCGTGGCCGAGTGTGGCGTGAATGTCTGGATTCCAACGTAGCCGAACATGACCAACGTAGCCCTATCATGATTTGGGGTGTGACCAACAGAGCTGGAAGAACCGTTAACAGCGGGGCACGATGACAGGTGTGCGCTACAGGGATGACATTCTGGATGTATACGTGAGACCGTATGCTGCTGCAATCGGACCGGACTTCATCTTCATGGACGATAACGCACTACATCGTGTCTGGATCGTTGATGCTTACTTAGAGCAGGAGACCATTGTCCGCATGGAGTGGCCATCCCGTTCACGACTCACCAGACCTCAACCCTATAGAACACATCGCCCTGTCCTTCTGGCAACTAGGCAGTACTCTTCCTGAAGAGTGGAACACGTTTTCCTTGGCAACCAGCCAGACATTGGGAGCATGAGACGACGGTGCCAGGCTGTGATCGCATCACGTGGATCACCTACGCGCAACCGAGAGTTGAGGTTTTTTTAAACAAAATTAATTTGCTTTCGTGATTTTTTTAAGTTTGAGTTTTAGTCAGATACCCTCATTTTGACGTATGATCTGAAGGACCATTGGTCACATATGATTAGTTGGCCTTGAGTGGCACATGACAACGGACTTTAGTTCATTGAACATTGTCTTCACGCAATATTGTCTTTGGCTATTTCTGTAAATACATACATACATAATACATACATACATACATACATACATACAATTGACGTATTACCGTTTAAAGTGGTGATTCTTCGCAAACTTTAAGTAGTATAATACCTCTAAGTCTTAAAAATTATATCCAATTTGTTTGACTTTCAACCCTGACAAGTATTACTGACGTACTATCTAAACTTCAGATAAAGCAGGTGGCCGGTAGCCTAGTGGTCTAAGCGTTCGCTAGTCACGCCAAAGACCCGGGTTCGATTCCCGACTTGGGTACAATGTATGAAGCCCATTTCTGGGTTCCCCCGCCGTGATATTGCTGGAATATTGCTAAAAGCGGCGTAAAACCATACCCACTCACTAATATTTCCTGACGCAGCCTTCCACTTATGGAGGGCTGTTAAAGGATCCACATTAAGACAAAACCATAAATATTTGTTGAGGTGAACATCAGCAAACCGAAAAGTGAGGGTGGGGCGTCTGGTAGACAGTGAGAAGGATGAAGCACGCCGCGCCCTCTTATAACCGCAATAAAGAAGGAGCGAGTACAAAATGTTCTCCAAACTGCTATTGTTCAAAATTCGTTGGAAAACTAATTAACTCTTTTGAAATTAAATCATCACACTATTGTTGTTGCAGCTGTTTCTGAGCCAGGAATTCACTGGCCATTATGAACGTGCATTTTGTGCAAGTAAAACTGACGCAACTACGGGCCATTGTGCCAAGTTTTAGTGAAATTATGTATCAACAATAACATGGTTTTAGTCGGAGAAACCTCTCGAATCTGTTGATTCTCGTGATTTCTCCATTATGAAAATTGGTTTACGAGGTGAAATATGAATATGAAGGGGTGGGAATCACTCAAACCATAAAACCTATAGCAAACCAATACTTGTCAACATCATTTGAAGCACCCAAATATTTTTCTTTTTATCTTAGCGCTGAGAGTTTGACAGTTTGAAATGATCTCATTATGTTGTAAAAATACGGAAGAGGACAAATGTAAATAAACGACAAACTTTAAATATATTGACAGCAATTAAGTTTGTTTGTTTGTTGTTTAACGCCGCACTCAGCAATATTCCAGCTATATGACGGTGGTCTGTAGATAATCGAGTCTGGACCAGACAATCCAGTGATGACATCATGAGCACCGATCCACGCAGTTGGGATACGATGACTTGCATCAACCAAGTCAGCGAGTCTGACCACCCAAACCCGTAAGTCGCCTCTTACGGAAAGCATGGGTTGCCGAAGACCTATTCTACCCCGGACCTTCACGGGTGTGACAGCAATTAAGTAATCGCCTTTATCTAAAGGAAATATATTTATGTAAACTAAATCCAACTAGGGTGGCAACTCAACAAGGCAATGTAGTTTTATATAATCTAAACAAGAGGCCCATAAGGCCTGTATCGCTCACCTGGATATTTACGCAATCATGACAAGATATACATTTGCATTGTACATGTATATAATACTGCAAATATTTCGTAATTTAAAACTCTGTCAGCATTTAAAATGGATGGATGGCAAATCTGACAGCATGAACGTGTATTTCTCAAGATAGCCCCTCCATTTGTACAGTTATGAATTCCCACCACTGAGACTACTTCAAACCAAATATGGTTAATGTCCATCTCTAAGTTCCAGAAAAAAGTCGTTTAAGGCAATATTGCCAAATTACCTTTTCTAGCTCCGCCCCTCAGTCCCCGGGGGTGGGAGTGGGGTTCAAGTCCCTCCATTTCTCCAATTTGAATCCCCACCATTGGAGAATGCTTCCAACCAAATATATTGATATTTATCACTTGGTTCCAGAGAAGAAGTTGTTTAAAGCAATATGACCCCGCCCCTCATCCCCTCCATTTGTACAATTTTGAATCCTCACCACCAAAGAATGCTTCCAACCAAATATGGTTGATATCTTTTTCTTTGTTCCAGAGAAGAAGTCGCTTAAAGCATTTTGCCCCGCCCCTCATCCACTTGGGATGTACAATTTGTACAATTTTGAATCCACATCACCTAGGGGTGCTTCCAGTTTAATTTTCGTTAATTTCCAATTAGTGGTTCAGAAGAAGTCGTTTGAATAAATTGTTGATGTACGGACGACGGAGGGACGACGAAGGCAACGGTATGGCATAAGCTCACCTTGGTCCTTCGAACCCGGTGAGCGAAAACAATGAAACGCAAAAGTGATTTTAGATGTATATTTTATATTCCATATAAATAATCAACAGATGGTAATCGATTGTTCAAAATTGGCATACATAATTGACATTGAACCAGGTTCGATATGACACACATGGAAC